GACTAAACAGGGTGTCCGCGGGATCTTAAAAAGTATTAAAAGTTGATAAATCAATTTAGAGAAAATTAAGGCCCTTAAAAAGTATTAAAAAGTCTTAAATGCCATTTTCCAAGGTATTACATTTTGTATCATCTTTTCATTATGTATATTTATTGAATAGTGGGGTCCTGTGTATTTTATTTATGGAGTCCCGCAAGATTTAACTTCATATGTTACAGCGCTCACTGACTGACTGCGCCGCTGCGGGATAGCGCGGGGCTTGTTGATCCCACTCACGCTGAATTTCTGACCATTACCGTACGCTCCCATCTGCTCTCGTGATTTTTGTGTCCACTCCCGCAAACATTCTAATATTGTATATAATTTTCGCGCATCAGGGCGCCGCTTTCAATATGTGGGGTATTTAAATCCCCTTTGAATGAGCGCTCTCAGTCGTAGTTCACTTTCACTTTTGATTTTGCGATCACGCGGGCACTGTGTAAAGCAGTGCTTCTCTAAGTCCGGACTCCGGTCAGAATCCGGACCCGGAGGGAATTCAGTCCGGACCCGCCCCAATTTCATATTTCCTACTTTGATAAACGCATGTTAAACTTGTAAATCATATAGTTTTTTGAATGTCTTTTTGGAGATGGTCCGAAATGAAAGCGAAGGAGAGATATTGAAACTTTTTCTTCATGACATTTGTTGTCATGACATCCAGTGAACGTATGATGTTTGACATAATCGGACGACATCTCAACGCTAATATGAGTAATTTTTTTATTTATTTATTTTTATCATCACTTAGATCATGGCCATTTTACTTATAGCAGTGTCCAGTGTTTCCCATACATCGAGTTATTTGTGGCGGCCTGTCACAAAATCAAAACTGACCACCACAAATAGATTTTCCAAAAGGATTCTACTTCGTTGAATAAATTAAACGATTGAAAAATTTAAATGCAGCATGGGTATTTTTATATGAATGCGTAATTGAAAAGAACCAACCGTCTTCAGAAAAGCTTTGATGTCGTTTTCATGTTTATTTGTTATGCATGTTATGTAGGTTTATTACAAGTTTTGTAATAACCAATTGTTCCGGTACGGACCTTTGACACTGATGAAAATTCAGATTTGGACCTTTGAATGTAGACTTTGAGAACCCCTGGTGTAAAGGGAGCACATCCTACGATAAAAGATATTTGTCAATGAGCTCGGGATCTGTTGAGGAGCAAATCCTCCAACATCTTGTCCATTATCTCTCCTTACTTTTGACCCGTGATTAGTCAAATCTGACTTCTGCAGCTCGTGTTGGATGCAGGGTTGTTGTTGTTGTTTTTTTCCCACGAAATTTGGCTGCTTTTAAACTCTTGCCATGGGTTGATTTTCCCCAGTGGGTTTTTGTGCTTGACTAATTATGCAGAACCATGGCCGTTTGCAGTAGAGTGACTAAACAGGGTGTCCGCGGGATCTTAAAAAGTATTAAAAGTTGATAAATCAATTTAGAGAAAATTAAGGCCCTTAAAAAGTATTAAAAAGTCTTAAATGCCATTTTCCAAGGTATTACATTTTGTATCATCTTTTCATTATGTATATTTATCGAATAGTGGGGTTCTGTGTATTTTATTTATGGAGTCCCGCAAGATTTGACTTCATATGTTACAGCGCTCACTGACTGACTGCGCCGCTGCGGGATAGCGCGGGGCTTGTTGATCCCACTCACGCTGAATTTCTGACCATTACCGTACGCTCCCATCTGCTCTCGTGATTTTTGTGTCCACTCCCGCAAACATTCTAATATTGTATATAATTTTCGCGCATCAGGGCGCCGCTTTCAATATGTGGGGTATTTAAATCCCCTTTGAATGAGCGCTCTCAGTCGTAGTTCACTTTCACTTTTGATTTTGCGATCACGCGGGCACTGTGTAAAGCAGTGCTTCTCTAAGTCCGGACTCCGGTCAGAATCCGGACCCGGAGGGAATTCAGTCCGGACCCGCCCCAATTTCATATTTCCTACTTTGATAAACGCATGTTAAACTTGTAAATCATATAGTTTTTTGAATGTCTTTTTGGAGATGGTCCGAAATGAAAGCGAAGGAGAGATATTGAAACTTTTTCTTCATGACATTTGTTGTCATGACATCCAGTGAGCGTATGATGTTTGACATAATCGGACGACATCTCAATGAGTAATTGAGTAATTTTTTTATTTATTTATTTTTATCATCACTTAGATTATGGCCATTTGACTTATAGCAGTGTCCCCATACATCGATACATCGAGTTATTTGTGGCGGCCTGTCACAAAATCAAAACTGACCACCACAAATAGATTTTCCAAAAGGATTCTACTTCGTTGAATAAATTAAACGATTGAAAAATTTAAATGCAGCATGGGTATTTTTATATGAATGCGTAATTGAAAAGAACCAACCGTCTTCAGAAAAGCTTTGATGTCGTTTTCATGTTTATTTGTTATGCATGTTATGTATGTTTATTACAAGTTTTGTAATAACCAATTGTTCCGGTACGGACCTTTGACACTGATGAAAATTCAGATTTGGACCTTTGAATGTAGACTTTGAGAACCCCTGGTGTAAAGGGAGCACATCCTACGATAAAAGATATTTGTCAATGAGCTCGGGATCTGTTGAGGAGCAAATCCTCCAACATCTTGTCCATTATCTCTCCTTACTTTTGACCCGTGATTAGTCAAATCTGACTTCTGCAGCTCGTGTTGGATGCAGGGTTGTTGTTGTTTTTTTCCCACGAAATTTGGCTGCTTTTAAACTCTTGCCATGGGTTGATTTTCCCCAGTGGGTTAAAGGTTTGAAATATTGCATAAATTACATTTGGTTGGGTTGAAATGCTTGTACTCAAACATTTTGCACTCTACCTGTAATAAAACTGTGCTAAATGTTTTGGGCCACACTAGTAGGAAGCATTTGAACTGTGTTTATGATAATTGTGCAAATATGTATTTTAGGATGGAAATTTCATTTTTATATTTGGGACATGGTAATTGCGCTACTTTGGGCTGTTTTTTTTTTTTACTGGCATGGGCTTGGGATGCACAATTAAAGTGATGTAATAGTTTTGATCATTATTTTACCTTCCGTGATCATTCAGACACGTTCAGGTGCAGTACTGACACTCTGTCAAGTCTGCATCAAGTCAAGCACTCCGTAATCACAGGTAAACTGTCTGATCAGTCAGGTGTTTGTCATGAGAAGTGTTCCACAAAACAGCTATGGTTTGAGTTGATGTGACAAATACATCTTTTGAATATACTGTGTGAACTCATTGTTAGCTCTGAGAGCTTTATTTGCCCTCCTCAACAAGTTTTGTCAGTTGTTTTGTTTATTGGTCTAATTCTTGTTTCTTGGGATGCATTGGTTAGTCACTTAATTAATTCTCTTGTGCTTCGTTCCCCACTTCTGATTTATGTTGTATTGATAAGGAGTTATCACAAAGTAAGTCTGTTTAGTTGCGCTATCTTACAATCAATATATAGTAAATGTAAGTTAAAGTGTCGCCGATGTAACCGGTTAAAACTTGGAGTGGCGATGAGGTCTTAAAATGTATGGAAAGAGTCTTAAAAAAGGTCTTAAATTTAACTCCATGATTCCTGTATATACCCTGCTGAAGGCGTCATTAGTTTCCTGCTGATCTGATATATTTGCAAGACTCGAGCTACTGAATTGAACTTAACTGCCTCTGATGGTATCTAGTCACTGGACTTGCATATGCAAACCCTGGGAAATGCAGCTCACCCAGAAGGGTCTGAAACCATCTCATAATGGTTAAAGCATTCAGTTTAGATTCTGATTCTGAAGAGTCTCTTACAGTGACACTGTTTGTTTTTGGTTTGCGTGTTAGGTAGTACAGCTACTTTGCCATGATAGGGTTGGAACGATATTTATGAAGCTAAGCTAATCTCAAGAACATCTGGAGAACCATTCTCATGGTCATTTTTCTCAAGGTCTAAGCACCTGTAACGAATCATCCACTGAAGGCGAGCGTAGTAAGAACCCATGTGCAGTTTTATTTACAAAGGTGATCCAAACATCCAAACAATAATCTGTGACTTGACTTGACATGAACAGACTTGACTTGACTTAACTAGGCATGAACAGACGAGGCATGAACAGACTAGACTCACCGACAGCGGGTTACAACATCAATACACGACCAGGCACAATGGGAACATGATGGCTACTTATAGCAGACAAGAGGGTCACATGACATGAACAAACCAATGGGGAACAAGACACATGATTAAGACTACCAACCAGAACATGACACAATGAACAGAGGAACCAATAGCATGAAGACAAGAGGGCAAGGGAAGCATGACACTAACTGGGTGAACCAATTACAAAATAAAAGACATGAGAACATGAAACAAAACCCAAAACCCAAACCCCACATTACAGCACCGTAACTACAGATGAAAGTTTGTTTTAATGAACTGTTAGAAATGCATTACAGTTCAAAGTACAGGGTTTTTAACCTTGAAATAATGACTTACTTTACACAGAGATGAACACTGGAGGTGTCTGACAGAGCATACTTTAAGATAATGGAAAAAAGGGTTTTGTTTTTCTCAAATATGCCAGACTGACAGATGTTATCCTATGGGATTGCAGTGTCAAATGCAGATTGGAAAGTGTCATATCACAACTCTACAAAATAATGTTCTTTTTAGCAGCATCATATGACCCCTTTAATATCATATACTGGGTTACCTACATAAGTGGAAACTAAATCAATCATCATGACAACCTGTGATGTGCGTCATCCTTCAAATGAATCAACACCTAATTGTGTTGACAAGACGCATCAAACCCAACAAGTTGTTCTTGAAATGTTGGTTCTTTGTCAGCAGGCTGTAATATCTGTGATGTTCTGTATGTTTAGACATCAGGCAGTCTGTTGATGTGGACATGGCATGCTAGTTGACTGTATCATGTACTGAGGTGGTGTGTGTGTGTGTGTGTGTGTGTGTGTGTGTGTTACAGCAGATATGGAGCAGGTATCAGATGATGAGTTGGACCATGCTGCTGAAGAAGACAGCGATAAGGAGGACCAGGATCTGGACAAGATGTTTGGCGCCTGGTTGGGAGAACTGGACAAGCTCACAGAGGTGACACTCTCACACTCAGTCGCTCAGTGTGATATTGTGACGTATTATATTTTGAATATGATGCATCTTCACTTTGGGGGCTTTTCTCAGGAAATTTTGATATGTGCAAATTCATTTGATTTTTGTAATTAATTCTGTTTAGAATATGTTGGTCAACATTGGAAATGTTTTATTTTTTTATCAGTGTAGGTCAGCATTGTACATTTAATTGTACATGCTCGTTTCCTCTATTTTTACATTTAGATTGTCTTTGCCGTCGTTTAATACAGTGGTTCTCAATCAGGGGACCGGGGTCCAATAGGGGACCTCAGCAGACTTCCAAAGGGGCCTAAAGATGACTTAAAGTGATTTAATATAAGATAAAACAATTAACGTGTAAAAACAGTAATAATTGAGTAACTATATAAATATAATACATTTTGTATATCGATCATATTGTACATTATCATGTTGTGATGCCTATACTCGTGTATAGAATTTAAAATCTTGATTATACTTTTTAATGTTTTTTTTTTTTTTTTGTCAAAATAGTATTTTAATATAGTAATTTTTATATCAGCTGTTTAACGGTTATAACATAGCCATACCATGAAAATTATTTTCTGCCAAAATTTAGTATTCGATTACAGTTTTTAATTCACAGACTTAATTCAGATTCTTGTATTGATGTATTGTATTGATGATTATATTCATGATCTGTCTGTCTTGTCTCACCTGATCTCACGTTCCCCTGTCTCTCTCTCTAATGTAGAGTTTGGATGATGGGCATCCTGAGAAAATGCAGAAAGCTCCTCTCAGACAGGAAACAAACCTTGCCAACTTCTCCTACCGTTTCTCTATGTACAACATCAACGGTTAGACTACACCCAGAAACACACCACCTCTGATTACTCAGCATACATTAGCACTCAAATTCCCACTCAAAACGCCTTTGCATGCATCTGATATGGTGGTGCTGCGGCATGCTGCAGTTTTCATAGATTATCATTAGACCACCAGCATAACAGCAGAATGGTGGTAATTATAGTTTACCATGCACAAACACTACGGTTCAAATGTTTGGGGTTGTTTTATGTTTTTGAAATAAGTCTTTTTTGCTCACCAAGGCTGCATTTATTTGACCAAAAATACAGTAAAAACAGTAATAATGTGAAATATGATTACAATTTAAAATAACTGTTTTCTATTGAAGTATATTTTAAATGTAATTTATTCCTGTGATGCAAAGCTGAATTTTCAGCAGCCAATTCTCCAGTCTTCAATGTCACATGATCCTTCAGAAATCATTCTAATATGCTGCTTTTCTGCTCAAGAAATATTTCTTATTATTATCAATGTTGAAAACAGTTGTGTTACTTCATATTTTTGTGGAAACTATTATATATTTTCCAGGATTCTTTTTTTTAAGTTTAGTTTAGTTTATTTCGAGCAAAAAATTAAAATAAACTATATATATATATATATATATATATATATATATATATATATACACATACATAGAAAAATAGAACAGTTTATCTCACATATATATGTATCCGTACATATACCTTACAGATAATAACTACACACACACAGATATGTACATGTACACGTTTAAGAGAACAGCATTTATTTAAAATAGAAATCTTTTGTAACATTATGAATGTATTTACTATCACTTTTAATCAATTTAATGCAGAATTAAAGTATTAATTAATACAAACTTTTAAATGGTAGCATGCTTGAATTAAATGAATTAAAATTGTCCTCTGTCTATCTATGTAGAAGCCATTAACCAAGGTGAGACAGTGGACCTGGACGCCCTCATGGCTGACCTGTGTTCAATAGAACAAGAGCTCAGCACTATCGGCAAACCCTTGAGCAAGACCTCAGATGGCAAATCTAGACCAAGACCCACAGGCCGCTCGGCCAGCACCAAACACACCGGAGGGGGCAGCAGTGGAGGAAGCACCAGCAGCAGCACCAGAGCTTCTCCTGCTTCCACCGTATGCGGTGGCAGCAGCCAGTCACGGCCCCTGGCCTCCAACATCTCCCTGGAAGACATTACCGCTCAGCTAGAAAAGGCATCCCTGAGCATGGACGAGGCAGCGAGGCAGACTTCTGAATCTTCCTCCTCATCCTCCTCCTCATATTCATCTGCAACTTTGTCTCACCCGCCTTCTAACACACATCATCGCCGCACAGGATCGGTTGGTACGGTCAGTGACCAGGAAGTGCGCTCGATCGGTCATTCGTCCAGGTCAAGCATCAATTCTGCCTCGGCATCCAGCATGGACTCACTGGACATTCGAGGGCAGGAGAATGAGGTTCAGTCACAAAATCAGAACCAAAGCCAGACTAGCACAGAGGTAACACACACACAAACATGATATTAAATCTTTTTTCACTCTTTTTTTCCTTTTGAATTATTGCATAGCTAGTGCTTAGATTTCTGACTCTAAGAAGAACTGGACGGTAACATGACAGCATGTCCATAGAGGACCAGAGGTTTATTAGGCATGAGAGACCATGCTACTCTGAGAGTTTCAGCAGAGTGAGACATAGCAGAGAGAAAACTGAAAGCAGATGTGAGGGGCTCAAATCTAAAGCACAACGCCAGAAAATAAATATCCACTAAAGAAAAAGAGTAAAGAGGAATTTTCAGTCAACACAGGGATAATGGTCTCAATCACAATCGCTGCTTTCTTTAGCACATAGATTGAAGCCAAATCTCACAACATCAGGTTATGTATTCCAAGTATAAAGTCAACATGAATTGTAATTCACAACCCATTTTACATTTTCTTTTAATCTTTTCTTAAATTTTTTAAAAATCTGTTAAAGATGCATTGGTACTTTCATGCTCATTTAAAAAGTTTTACCCATTAAGAAACAATGTTGAAGAGTCATCTGAATGGGGTTCACTTGCATGAAAAGAAGACTTACTGTATTCATAGTAGTTTTCTATAAAAAAAAAAGTGTTTTAATTTGTGCTGGTCACCCTGATGTATTTCTATGTTGACATGACGTGACCGGTGATGTTTCACTTCACACTCATTAGCTACCGTCTCCATTGACAGAACTCAGAGATGATAATGCTGATCCACGCTGATAGATGAACATTGCAGCATCTTTCACCATTGTGTTATTGGTACAACAGAGATGCTTAAGCTAGCTAAAGAACTACTCAATGCAACTTTAATTCAAAAATACATTAAGTATGCCGTTTATACAAACAGTTACTTGAATGCATCGTTTCTATAGTGAACATACTTGTTTTTTAATTTCTGAATTCAATTTTATTTTGATATTTTTGTTACTATTTTTTCTTATAATTGCTTTAACATAACAGCTTATTAATATGTAAAATTAATAAATTAGTCAAATTAATTGTCTCAAACAAGTTAATAATTAAGAGTAAAAATGTCTCCCCTTTTATTATGTGATATGTCAGATGAATCACTAAAAAAAAGTCCATGAGAATGCATGACAGTAAATAGGGTCAACTTTTGATTTCATGCTGACTTCAGTGCTTCATCATATCAGTTGGCCAGGTTCATTATTTAAGAGTTGCTTAACATGGATGTTTGTGTGTGTATATGTGGGTGTTAAAGAGAAGAAAATTCTAATTGTAAAAATATTTTCCCATCTATGCAACTTCAGACAGGAACTTAAAGACATTTATTCAAAGTAGAATTATGACTAAGACTAATTAATGTCTTAGTCATAATTCTATTTTGAATAAATGTCTTACAGTCAGTCTAATTACTACCAAAAAAAAGACTCATTGACATTATAGAAAGTTTATCCTGTCATTCACTAAACAATTTAGAACAAAGAGGGTCTCTTTACTTGGACAGTCAACATTCCCTCTGACCCAGACACACACAGAGTTCTATTCATAGCAGTTTTGTTCTTTTGTTAAGGGCAAAGTCTGTATTGTGGTTTTGGGAAATGTGATGATCGAGGTTTCGCTGAATACACCATTGAATCATTAAAGCTTAGTCATCTCTTGGCTGGCCACATACTTTTCACACACACTTACTTACAACTAATTTCTCACAAGCACACACGCTGAGCTTTAATAGTTCTTCAGTACTGTTGTCAGAACAATAAACCAGAGATGATATTTCGCCACTCTTCTAACCACAGCGTTGCTCATCCGCACCAGGATGTACAGACCCGAGCACTTCACTCAGCTAAAAAATACATACTGTGGTTTCAGATGTAAACAAGCGCTGTTTCACAGATGGAACAACGTGATAGGATTTCATGTCTGTGTGTGAGAGAGAATGTGTGCACAAATCTTGCTGTCGTAATCTTGCATGAGACACAGACACTGTGCTGGTCACTTTAAACAGTACAGTGTGACAATAACACCTGTTATGCTATATGGCTATGCTATTCTAACTTATTTACATGCATGATGTGTTGGTTTTGGTAACATCTTTGTTGTTGTACTGTATGCTTACACTAAAAAAAGTTCTATAGGAGCAACAGATGACATGGCTTCTATAATGTCATCTATATTAATATGAAACAAGGGTTTTCAGCCACTGCTCTGTGAACCCAGGGGCTCCATGAATGTACTGCAGGGACGATACACAGTATAAAACCGATAGGGATTGTCAAAGCATTATATGATGTTTTAATGAAAGTTATTTGAAAATGATACTGACCTTTATTTATATTGGAGCAGGGATCCATTGGCCTATAAAGTTTGAAAGCGTGTCATGGTCAATAAAAGTTCAATTCTATGGGCAATATCAGAAAATAATTTGTAAAAACAAACAAAAAGCATGTTTACAGTAAAGATCTGAAAATGGATTTTTTTTTGACTGGCAAGGCATTGCAGCAAGAGTAAATGTAAAATATAGACTGCTTCTAAAATGTAGCCAAAGACTTGCATCATTTGTGCCAAATATGCAAGACTAATATGATGAAAATATGATGTAAAGTCAAACTCCTCATAAAGCCAGTAACTTTTTGTGCAAGGATACCATAGAAGGGACATGACGTAGCTATCTGCAAAGTATTGTTTACATGAAGCAAACTCACACCCACAGGACTTGCACTGTTAATGCCTAACTAGTATTTTATCCACCTAGAACTATAGGCCCACTGCTAAAATGACCATTTTGAGGACTTAACAGCTAGTACAAGCCCATTAACTTTTGTTCATCTTCAGAACACGAGTGAAGATGTTTTTAACATTCTTAATCATTTTGGTCTCTCATTTAGTGAGGTTTGTTCTCATGCATCAAGCAAGTACGTTTAAGCTTCTGTTTACCATATTTGATATGCTCTGTGTATATGCGCTGATCAATGTTTGTATGTCAATAAAAGGCTAAATAAAATCATATAAAGCGATCGTGGCTCTTCAGAAGACCTGGGTTAAACCACTCTATTTGTATGGATTACTTTACAATGTCTTTATATTTGACTTATTTTTGAAGATTTAAAATTTTGGTTGCATGGGCATTGAATGGATGAACCAAAATGATTAGAGAATATTAATAATACCATTTGTGTTTTGAAGATTAGTTTAAGTCGCATGGGTTTGGAAAGACATGAGGGTAAGACAATTACGGGTGAAAAAAAGAGTTCCACTGTACATGTAATAGTGTAAATTGAGTCAAGATTCCTTTCTGTACTTATCGATAGTATCGGTGACATATTATATTCTATTAAACCAGAACAAGTTTTTACAACAAGAGTGGCGGCATATATTGACCCTTGCTTGTGCATGCCTTGTTTTGCATTGTCTGCTGCATGATTAATATGTTTATGTTTGCACCTTTTCTGTGATGTGATGTCACTGCCTCCCCCACCCCTTTTCCCAGCATGTCTCACTGCGAAGGGCCAATGGTAAAGCTACCAGACGGCATCTTGACTTCACCTCACAGGAGGGGGAGGTGGATCAAAGTACTGTAAGTGTGTTTGTGCGCGACAGGGGATATGTGTACACAGTATGTTCATTCTCAAAATACTGGCTCTTAGCATAGCTGTGCTAATTCAAGGTTTCATAACGTCATCATTTTGGTTACGAAAGGACACTTGTAGTACATCAGGAGAGGTTTATTCTCAGCTCTTTTTTTTTTCAAAAAGGCTTTTAAAAGAGATCTGTGATCACAATATTTTATATACGAAACAGTTCTTTTATATATTTGTTTTCCATCCACACTTTTATATGCCACCTCTTTCTGATTTTGAATAATCAGTGCTCAGGCAATGCTTCCACACTTTCTGTGCTTTACCACAATCAAGTATGTATTTCTATCATTTTTGACATCACTGTAATCATTGCACTGATTAATCTCTGTTTGTCTTTTCCCTGCACCCTAAAGCACTCGTATCTGGACAGGGAGACCTCTCTGATTCTGAAAAACATTGCAGGAAAACCCTCTCACCTGCTGACCAAGGTGACACCTCCTTTCGCTTGCTTCTTTTCCTTTCTCTGCATGTTTTTGGATTTATTTTGGTTCTTCACTGAAAGCCTTTTAACCTCAGTCTTCTTGCCAGACTTGACACTTTGCTCCACCCACACTGCCTTACTTTTTTAAAGTGCTATATCTCCTGTTTTCTCTTTGCTGCCATCTTCATATGTGTGCAGCCATTTCAAGAAAAAATCAGATCATTCAGTCAAAAGTGTCTATAATGTTTTGTCCTCCTTAATGCTTTCAACCTATAGCACCTCTCTCTGAAGAGAAGGCTTGGGTTGTGTATTATGTCTTTTATTTTGTAAAGTTTTTAACATTTAATTTAATTTAGTAAATTAAAATTCTTTAAAAAATCATTCAAGTCAGATTTTCTAGTTCATAATGGTCAGTTATTAGCATTCACAGATTGAAGGTTAGAAAGGTGTTATCGTGTATATATATATATACCGTGTATATATATATTTATATGTATGTGTAGGCTTAGATATGTAAAGTATTAAAGTTACGAATATCCTTTTGGACCTCGGTTAAGAAATGTGTTTAGTATATAAAACAGATTTGTTAAGAGGTTCTGGGTTTTTGTCTGCATTTTGTGTTTGTGTTTGATGCTTTGGTGAGTTATCAAAGTTATCGCTGGGTCCCTGAAGAAATGGCTGTTCGTCACTTATATAATTTCATTTTAGGACCATTTCAGTTCAAGAACTATATAAAACTGAAACCAATTTACCTATTCTTATGGTTTTTTTGTGTGAAAGTGGTGTCTCAGACAGTTTGACTTTTTGTGTGTTAAACAGTATTATTTTAAAGGGATAGTTTAGCCAAAAATATATTTTTTATTATTTACTCAGCTTTTTTTGTTCCAAATCTGTAAGACTTTTTTTTCTGCAGAGCACAAAGAAGATTTTTTTTTAATGTTGTATATGATTTCCATTGTATAGTAAAAATTAATAAATAAATTCTCATAAAATTTTCTCACAGACAATGAAGAAAATCATACAGGTTTGGAACGAATAGAGAGGAAGTAATCAATGACGGAATTTTCATTTTTGTGTGAACTATCCCTTCAATAATGCTGTTAGCCATGCAGCATAGACAGCCATGCATTTGTTTTCCAATAAGCATTAATTAGCTTCAAACAAAGGCTCTATATTGAATAACTTCTTGCTTTTAATTTATTCCTGAGAACAGCTATTATTATGCATGTGACTGTAATTCCCATGTTGTCATACCAGCAAAGGCGCTTTGCAGGTGCAGAGCATTGTGGGTAAGAGTGCTTTTCTCACGTGGAGCTAAATAATAAGAATCCAAATCTGACGCCACTTTGATTTTTCAAGGTTGTGTGAGCTTTTGTTAAACCTTGAAGCTGCTACGGCCAAATTAATACGGTTTATTATTTTCTCAAGTTCATTGTGCTGCATTACAACATTATCTCTGGTTGTTGTTATAGTATAGTGCGTTTTTGAATGAAAGTTTTACATGTATATGAAGTTTTTACAGAAATCGCTATTTTGAATTAAATTCAGAAGTTTTTGCTGCATCCCCCATTTGCTTTAATGAGAGCATCCACTTGAACAGGCACTTGATGTACATGCAAGATGTGACCTATGTTATTCCAACGTGATTTAAGAATTTTTCGAGAATTTCTAGTGACCTAAAAATAGTGCAGAATATTTCTTAATTTTACACCATTGTTTCTTTGTTTAAATTTTCAGAAACCTAAAGATTTCTTTTATTACGGTTTAAATTAGATTTTTCAGTCCTATGTTTTCAAAGTGTCATTAAATAATGAGTTTGTCTTTTTTTTAGTTGTTTAGGAATTATTATTTTTTTCTTTAAATGAAGCAGAGTCTGCTAAGTTTAATATATTGGTCATGACCTTAGACCAAGTCATTATCTATTTACACAAACCGAGGCGGAGATGTTCTTGAAATCACACTCTGATTTCCTCATGATTTCATCACAACAGTGTTTGCGTTCCTGTTCACTCTGGATGGACTCACTCCAGACTGCTGAAACACAGACTCTCTGCCTTAAACAGAGCGAGAGAGAACCCGAGAAAAGAAAAAAAGACTTAAAAGGGAAGTTAATGCTTTTTATCGAAGCCTCTGCCTCGGCTTTTTGCAGAGCTCTCCATTCTCTCTCTGTCTCTGCATTATAAATATGCATCTGCCATAGTAATTCGAAAGAGAGAAACTGTCCTTTCATATCACGTATACCACACTTTTTTCCTTCCTTCCTCTTCATTATATGCTTTTCATTGCATATACTTTGCATATTGAAATCTTTATTTGTCTGCCTCTGACTTTGTATTTCTTAATCAGCCCATAACCTGCTCATCCTGTTATAAAAAAATGACATAATACTATTCAAAGTTGACTTAAACACAGTGTCACTTAAAACCCTCATCCTTATAAAACCCCCCTTTTTAAAATGTGAAAAACAATAAATACAAGGCCTAGATATTATTCATCCCCACGGTACCCCCAAAAAGGGAGGGTGTTTTTCCACAACCACAGAAAAAGGATCAGAGAACAATGTCATCTACATTTGGCCTCAGCTTTATTGGCTAGTGCAAAGGAAGTCAAAGAAACGAACCTCACTGATTGGCTGCCGAGAATTATATGTACATTCCGATTGGAGAAGAGGTACGAGAGGGTCTTTTATAGCTGATGGCGGCTTGGTCTACTGGTGAGGGGGATTAAACCCTGTGATTGGGCACGCTACCAGAGACATGCAGCTGTTTCACAGAGAGGGAGAGAGACAGTGAAGAGAGGGGGAGGTCTCAATCCCTCCCAATGTTGAGGAGTAGAGTTGTGTGTAAGGTGCACTGGGTGTAAAGATATGTGAGGGGAAGCGTTTTCATCTGTGTGTCACGGCCAATGCACATTTCGCCTTCATGTTCCTTCAGATTGAGCGGCAGTAGACGTATTTTTTGGATTATTTGAATGATTTCCATCAGAGGCCATTCCTGCAGCAGCTCTGAAACTTCAGCTGGAAGTACCTGTCAGGCCTTGAAATAGCTGCCATCTGTGACGAGAACGTCCATTTATTGGATTTAAGAAATATTTCAGCTGCTTAAATTTGTATTGAATGAATGAACAGCCATTTCTCTAAGGAACCGTTAACATGAGAGGTGGTTCAGGAGTGGTCGTGTAACTTCCTTTTGTGTCTCTGGTTGCTGGTTGATCAGACTTTGCGAGGGTTTAGGGTTTGTTTTAAAAGGTCTGAATGGATGTGATGACTGCATGTTGGAGAGGGCAGGTAAGTGTAAAACAGAAATTCACCTATCTGATTTCATGCCTCAGTAACGGATGAAACTAGCAGACTGTTGGCGTGATACTATGTGAGTGTGTTTCTTTGTTAACATGTCATTTTGTCATTCACAGGAGGAGCAGGCTGCCAAAGCGAAGGCTGAGAAAATCCGTGTGGCACTAGAGAAAATTAAAGAAGCCCAGGTGAAAAAGGTGAGTCAAAGCCCCTGTGATTCTCTGGTCCCCCAAGGGTCAGTGAACCTCCTCTTTCACTGCATGATGCAGCCCTTCAGACGCTCTAGCAGGAGAATTCATAGGATGAATGCACAGTAGAAAATAGGTCACTCGTGTGTCTGTGAGTCTCTGTCTGTTTAGAACGCAAAATGCACAAACAAGATGTCGGTGAAGCTTTCGCTTCAAATTACTTGTTGAAAATGTTCATTGTGGTTTTTTTATTGTCATTCAAACTGGTCTGAGGTTTGCGTTTATTCTTGAGAGACGATCTATCCTATTACACTATTCATCTGAAAGGCACTGTCAAAATAGATGCCACCAGGCACATGCTGATATCAAGTGAATGAATTAGACACAGTACAGGGATTGGGCCTCTGTAGGCGAGACAGATGACTGTTTCCTTTCATTATGTGTATAGAGAAAACTGACAGTATTGAGCAGCAATGGTGCAGTGAGACCGATACGGAATGATACTGCGTCAAATATGCTTTCAATAATACAAGAATAAAAACAGCAGAATATACTAATAATACACAATGGTCCAAAGGTCTGAAACCCCGTTGAAAATCAAAAGCTGGAAATGATGAGAGATTTCAGTATTTAATAAAAAAGAAGTTTAAAATATATATATTTTTTAAACTAACAAAGGTCACATTCAAAAAAGCAAGTTTCTTACACTGACCATGTTAACTCGATAAAATGTCAGAATTTCTTCCATTTTAAATAACCCAAGATGATCTTCAGAACGTTCTCATCAGGTTTTGCACTTGTGGAGTCCATGTCAGATCTTTGGACCCCAGTGTATATGCTTATGGAGGAAAAATCGGATTTTGCAGACCTGAGCAAAGTTTAAAAAAATGTCACGTTCAATTTGGTCAAAATGCAAGGCATGTAAAGCCGCAGCGATTCGGTTTAGTCGATAAGAGGGAAATGAGTGATTGTTCTGTCAAAATAAGCCTTTCCTGCATTTATCAGTGTCAGTTTGTGCAGTTTCTGAGTTTGTACTCCTTCAGTCGAAATATTATTGCACAGTGTGATAGATTGTTTGTGCTGAAGTCAAAGAATGAGGCAGGCCAGATATGTCATATAGTGTGTGTTTGTTGGAGCATGTGTGAGAGGGAATTAAGAGAGCATAAACTAGTAGGGTGTTTTCTGCTGAGGTCAGGCTTGGAAAAGTGCCACATGCTCCCTAATATTCTGATGGCTTTCAGGACCCCTGGCAGGGCTGTCTGTTAATGTGCCTAATGCCTATGCAACATTTCTCTCTCCCTTCTCTTCATTCCTTACTCTCAAGAAGAAAGAAAATGGGATGTGAAATAGAGAGGGATGAAAGTCAGTTGTCCTTCCTGTTCCCAGTTAGTCTTTATTAAAGCCACGTTGTAACGCTCAGCCCAGTGGGCTGGGGTTACTAATATTGAAATGGGGTCTGACTTTTCTGTGTGAGAGTTAAAACGTGTTAAATGAATGACAAACTAGAAATACGGTTAATAAGAATGGTGTATTTACAGGTTCACATTAAAAGACTTTAAAACAACACTATAAAACCAGGTAAACTCAATCTCTGAAAAGAATACAGTTATTTTGTCCATACCCTAAAAACAGTCCAAGAATCCCAGTGTGTCGTTGAGTCCCAGTGTGAGTGTCCACCTGTGTATATACAATCCAAGTTGCTGCAAGTGATCCGGAAAGGTAAGTCCAATTAAATAGAAACTCCACAGTCCGGGTGTGAGTGGAAGCTGTGAATGGCCTCCTGGAATGTTTGCCATGCTGCTCTTTTTATGGGGTTCCTGCTTCCAACCATACAGTTCTTAAAGACATACACACCCACTAAAACGGATAAGAGGCATAAAATGGACTTAAGAACATGTAAACCAATTAAAACTCTATAATACACAAAATCACTGTAATAAATAGAGTGGTTAAAACATGTCCCTTGTGTGACAGTGTCACATAGTCTCCCCCCTTTGCCTACGGCACCTCGGGGAAGAAATTAGACCTTTACGAGTTCTGTCACCCGTTGTCCATAAAATGTATACCCTCTTTCCAGTGTGGCTTAAAATGTCTTTGAAATAAATTGGCTAAAACCAGGCAGTTCCAGGCGGGCCCTAGTCTGCTGGAAGGAGCTGGGGAACCGTTGCAGAGAGGTGACAGTCGGTACTAGCCTGGGTAGGTGGCGTGGTTCCTCCCTGGTACTTTCTATACCCAGCATGGCTGGCCCGCTGCTCCCTCTGTCGATTCCTCCTTCCTGGCTTGACGGTTGGTGATGAAGCTGGTTGAAGTGATGAATCCTTACTTTGGTCAGTGACGTTGCACGTTCCACATCCCCCCACATACGGCCAGACATCCTTGCGGATCGTAGGCCACCAGGCGACCTCCAGGATGCGGAGGAGCATTTTCAGCCGTCCGTGATGTCGCTCCGTTGACCTGCTGTGGAGTCTCTGTAACGTTTGTGGGATCAAGGCCTTTGGAATGACGAGCTGCATTCTGTGCTTGCCGTCCTTGCTCTCGATCCTCCGATACAGTAATCCCTGGTGGATAAACATGCTGGTCCGGTTAGTCTGGTATGTGGAAGGGGAGATGGGAAGTGTGATGGAATCCTGTTGTGCGCTGATGACTTCCTCACTGGAGAAGGGAAGAACGGAAATGATGGTGGTGACATGTGCTGCTGATGTCTCAGTGAAGGTGGTTCCGTCCTTCGCTCTGTTGTCGGTCAGTGAAATTGCTGAGATGGTGGAACAGTAAAGTGGGGGTGAAGCGGAGCTGCTGATGGCAGGCGCAGTGTTGGTAGTTTCAGTGTGAGGGGAAACAGTGGGTTCTGGAAGTTTCTTTTTGTCCTTCATTTGTTTCGCCAACTGTTTATCTCTCCTCCTAAAACACTCCACAACCTCTTTTTCCAACACCGCCAGTTTCTCCTTCACAACGTTTCTAAAGATCCACATCATATTCCAATTCAGTCCTATAAATCTTTGAGCAAAGTCAAACATTCCGATTTGAACAACATATTTGTGGCATACTGTATTAATTATTATTTTTTTCCATCTATACAATATCCCAACAAGTGCACAAGCTTTAGATGCATGCCACGTTTTTCTTGAATTTGTTACAGACATTTATTTAATTATATTTCAAACATTTGATCTTCCTGATATGTTTAATTGGATATAAGTGTGACCCATGTTATATTTCAGGAGTAAGATTCCACAAGCTAGATTAGTTATGATGATATACATGCCATGAAATATAAGGAAACATGTCAATACTCTTTGGTTTTGCTCACATTCTCGAATCAAGGGAAATAAAGTAACGATAGTAACTATAGGTCTTAACAAGGGTCCCTGTCAGGAGATGTTCATAAGATCACGTTACAAAATCAAATTTGTCAAAACTGATTAAAAGACAGCACCAAAATAAAGCATGATGTTAATATGTGTTTCATATTATGGGACTTACAGTATGTACTGACCAAAAAAAAAAATCGGAACTATATAATGTCCAGGGTTGGAAATAAACTTTTTTGACTTACTCAATTTGACTACTAAATTTTTAAGTTGCTGGCCATTCAGAACATCTACTAGCCATCATAAAAATATCAGAGTCACTGCTTAGATTTCAACATATTCATTGTAAATCTGAAATATGAAAGAGTAGTGCCATAAAATGAATTCTGATTGTCACAAAATTCTCTGTGATTGCTCTTATAAAGCAGCATTTATTTTGTTGTAAATTCCAGATATAGCAGACTCTAAAATACATGTTTAATGGTAAACATGTTTAAGATGAACACATAGGCGATTCATAAATTGATCGGCTGTTTCTTCACAAAAGTCAGTGTATTGAACTCTTCTCTCTGACATCCATTCGAAAAAAAGTCAATCTGTTCTCATTTCCAAAGTGTCCAAAAAAAAAAGTCATGCCCCAAAATATTATTTAATGATAACAAAATTGGTCCCTTTGAACTTATGATTTCCTGATGATAACATTCCTGTATTCTTCACATCAGCTTATTGACAGCTAGTGTTTCTCATTGCAAACAGCTGGTTTTCTGGCTTTGACACTATAAAGATGCTAAATGGTGCTTTTGGTGTCTGTATAGCAGTGCACAAAAATCTTGGAAATGTAGAATTTATCTTATGCCTAGGCAGTAAGAACAAGTTGAAAAAGTATCTTCACCGTCACGCCATTTTGCTATTGTTAAATACTTCTTGTAGGAACGGAACAGAACATAATTTAATAAAAAGCGATAGAATATAATTTATGAATTATAACCTGCCAAAGTGAGTGCAAGTGAGTTGACAGCATCTGCTGCCACGGTTGATTATAACTGCATTTTGCAGGTTGACGCATGTTAATTTCAGTACCTGATTATTTTGATTTATTCAAAGTAGCCACCCTTTGGTTAGATAACAGATAGCTTAGCAATACACTCTGGGCATTTTGTCAGCCAGCTTGTCCAAACTATCCAACATCAGGTGCATCCTAGGATGAATTTTAAACAGTATTGATGGAATTTCCATATTTACAGTCCAGTTGTTAGCTACTTTTCTTTCTTTATCCCATCCAATTGATCCATTTCAAATTCAAGAAGATTTATTAAACAGTCATTTATTTATTTTAGTGGGGGAAAAAAATTAAATATAGGCACAATGTACTGTATATTTATCAACAGAATGTGACTTTCCATAAAAATGTATGTGTAAATATATATATATATATAAAGTTTACATTAAATGTACTGGAATGAATCAAACTTTCCTTTCCTATTAATCTTCTTCATCAGCTGGTGATACGTGTACACATGTCAGATGAGAGCTCAAAGACCATGATGGTGGATGAGAGGCAGACGGTCAGGCAGGTGCTGGACAGTCTGCTGGATAAATCTCACTGCGGCTACAGTCCAGACTGGGCTCTGGTTGAGACCATACCTGAGCTACAGATGGGTGAGGATACTTGCACATGCTTAGATGACCTGTGAACCTGAGGGACAACAAGAAGATGATTTTGTACCTTATCATTCTCGCTCACTCTTTCGATTTTTGTCCTCAGAGAGAATTTTTGAAGACCATGAGAACCTGGTGGAGAACTTGCTCAACTGGACCAGAGACAGTCAAAACAAACTCATGTTCATTGAACGGATTGAAAAGTATGCACTTTTCAAAAATCCACAGGTGAAGCTCTTTTTTGTGACATATATATATATATATACAGAAAAAAAATCTGATTAAACAGATTCAAAATCTGTTTTAATCATAGAAATCAAGCGTAGCGTTAGTTCTGGCAGGTCACGTTAGTCAAGCTCGCATCAGCTGATTCTCAGCTGATCCCCATCAACCTATGGGAATACGACACCTATCTAAGCATTCATATATAAGGTCCCTCAGTATTATCAGCAGTTTTTGCATTGCTCAATAGCTAATTACCCTCCTCCATCCCCAGCTCCTCCTCTGTCAGTCGGGATTCAGCCTTCTGATTATCCTTTGAATCAGACTCATTCTAAAATGTGTACATAAAATTATTGAACATTAACAATATCTGCAATACATTTATGTTGGTTCTGTTCTGTTTACCCTAGGGGGTTATTGCTGCTCTCCCTGCTCTCATCCATGCTAGGCTGCATGGATGCGCAGGGAGTTCTTGCCCAGAGCACAACCATACCGCCAATCCAAACTGTATGCTAATTGTCAATCATCTTTGACAAAAGTGGTCCTGACAGAAATAAACACTAATAAGTATTGAAAATTACTGAATTAGAACTAGCCTGACTCTTCAAAACCACAATGTACACTACGGTTCAAAAGTTTGCAGTCAGTACGATTTTTATTCATTTTATTTTATTATTATTAATTTTTTTTTGTAAAAATACTTTTATTCCAGGACGTTTCAAAAAGTTCAAAAATCTTTCAAATAAATGTTGTTCTTTTGAACTTTCTATTCATCAAAAAATCCTGAAAAATAAAATGTATCGGAGTTTCCGCAAAAATAAGAAGCAGCACATTTCTGAAGGATCATGTGACACTGAAGACTAAAGTTATGGCTGCTGAAAATTCAGCTTAGTCTCACAGGAATATTTTAAAAAATGGTACCGTGCCTAAACTTTTATATGTACACACGTAATAGCAAAGAGTTATGATTCTTTAAATGTTTTATGTTGTCACCCTGATTCACTTGTTGCATATTGTGTATGTTTCTAAGAACTATTTACTTGGGAGGAAGGAGACCTCTGAGATGGCAGACAGAAACAAGGAGGCACTGCTGGAGGTGAAGCACACATTAAAATACAAATGATAGTTTGATATCATAGTACAATGGTACATTTTCAATTAAAGCACATTGGGTCTCAAGTAAAACTCAGAAAACCTCAAAACCATGCTGAAACACAAACACTTTTTATAAAGGCCTAGACTAACTAGCCTAACCTCCCATTATTGAGCAAGTTTACATGCACACCAGTAAGCTGATAACTCACAAATATCAGCTTATTAAAATAAACAGTTTTCCCCGTTTACATGCACATCAGTAACCTGACAACACAAGTAAGCTGCGTTTACATGACTTCATTAATAAATCAGCTTATTTCCCTGTAGTAATGTCAAAATATAATCATTTGCGTATCTGACTCCGAGTATTCCATACATTTGTCAGTTGTGATGTTAAATTAAGCTTGCAACATGTCAACTTACAGCTCATATATTATCCTCTCATGCAGTTATAAATGCAGCATTGTGACTGAACCACTTCTATTTCTGCTGCACGAGATGAGAACACATTTTTGATCATTTTCTGAGTCATGAAAAAGTCTGCTTTTGTGATATATTTCCTTCTTTCTTTACTGCAAGACGTTTGCTCGGTCTAGATGCGCTTCAATCTGCACTAACGATGCGTTCCTGTCACGTATCACACATGCACATTTCCATAAGCCGACAGAAAGTGGGATATTGCGTTTACATGCCGTGCGAAATCTGAGTAAGAGGCAAAAACCTGTTGCGACCGGTTTATGCTTACGCCGTTTATGACCTTACTCCAATAAAAGAAAACGGGTTACCGCGTTTACATGACCAAGTGCGTTTTCGGCTTATTAAGCATAATCGGCTTAAGAATGTGCATGTAAACGCGCTCATTGCCTGCTGTGCATAAACTGATTTGTTTCCCTTGTTTAACATGCAAATACATACACACAGTTAGTTAGTGTGACCCAAAGCCTTTATCACTATAATGTTAATTTGGAAGTGTTGTGATGTCCGACAGAGTTTAAAGATAAAGATCAAATTTCAGAATGCCTGACAGTGTAATGAAGTATTTTGTATCTGTATGTCTTGAAGGAATGTTTTTGTGGAAGCTCAGTGTCTGTTCCTGAAATCGAGGGAGTGTTGTGGTTGAAGGAGGATGGCAAAAAGTCTTGGAAGAAGCGCTACTTTCTTCTGAGGGCATCTGGCATCTATTTTGTGCCGAAGGGCAAAGCCAAGGTCAGTGTTATTGTGTGTGTGTGTGTGTGTGTGTGTGTGTGTGTGTGTGAGAGTGTTTTTGGTTTTGGTTTTGTTTTATCATATGATTTGGTGTCATTTTCCCATTAAATGGACACAGATCGTAATGAACTCAAGTGGAATTTCCTGTTTATGGATCATCTGAGGATACTCTACACAAACCATATGCTGTTTGTCATCCACTTACAATAAATCATGGGACTTTAATTCCCAGAGAGTGCCTTATTTTCTTGCCTTAGAATTTTCATGTTCTTATACAATTTGAAATCAGTCACAAGTGAACAATTGTTTCATGTTAGTATTAAATTCTCTGACATTTAAGGTCATGGGCTTGTCTGTATGTAATATGCTTTTGGCACAGACACTGATATCCTCTTGTGGTTGATCCTGGCTATTTGCTTCTGCTTGGTACCATGAGTATATAGAATTATTTTTGTTTGCCTTTATCTTCTCAATTTTGATCACTGTAAGCTATGAAGAATAAACTATCCAAATTTCACAACAGACAGTAATAAACATGAAACAATATTAATGTTTATTTTGATCACTGTAGGCTTCAAGGGATTTGGTGTGCTTCCTGCAGTTGGACCATGTTAATGTTTATTATGGTCAGGACTACCGGAGCAAGTACAAGGCCCCCACTGACTACTGCCTGGCCCTCAAGGTGTGTGATGTTATGATTTCTTGTCCTTAAGCCAGTTTAAATGATGTGCACTTGACTGTTACCTTTTATAAAACTGGTTCATATACTACCTTTCAAAAATTTGGGGTCTTTTTTGTAAAAGATTAATACTTTTATTTAAAAAATGATGCATTAAAGGGGACATCGGATGAAATATTCACTTTTTTAGCTTTATTTAAAAAAATATTTTTTTGCATTTAGTTAGGTTTCTGGCATATCTGCCAGCTCAGAAAAGCTGAAAAGAAAACAATGCTGCCAATTTGTTATGGGCTGTCTGAGTCTAAAACTGTGTCATCCAGCGAGCTGTTTTAATTTGCAGCCGGGTTTTATGTAGATAGATAGTTATTTGAATGAGACCACCTCCGAGCCATATACAGAGTCCAAGGCAGCACTTTCTGTGTCTCAACGCCCCATGGAAGAGAGGGGTGGGGGGAGCAGTAGCTCATTATCATTTAAAGAGACATGCACCGAAATGGGTCACTGTTGAACAGAGCTGTTTTTGACCAGATAAAAAAGGCTGTTGTTTTACACGTCCATTGAGAAATTTTAACCAAAGTATGTTACAGACATTTCATGAAGACCCGAAAGAATCATAGCAACTTGTGGAAAATGGGCATCCGATGTCCCCTTTACATTAATCAAATGTGACAGTAAAAACATCTTTAATGTTACAAAGGATTTTTTTTTTTTCAAAAGATGTTTCAAATAAATGCTGTTGTTTTAAACATTCTGTTCATCAAAGAATCCTGAAATAAATACTGCTGTAGAAATGTGAAAAGATAAAAAACTTTCAACATCGATAACAATAAGAAATGTTTCTGACTGAAGTAGTGGCTGGTGAAAATTCAGCTTTGCATAACAGGTATAAATTACATTTTAAAATATATTCACATATAAAACAGTTCTTTTAAAATATAATAATATTTCACAATATTAACTGTATTTTTGATCCAATAAATGCAGCCTTGGTGAACATACAAGACTTCTTTCTAAAACATTTAAAAAATCCTACAGACCCCAGGCATTTGAATAGTAGTGTATACAGGCTTGGGAGGGTTACTTAAAAAATTTATTCCATTACAGTTACAAATTAATTATTGAAAAAAGGATTCAGTAACGTAATCCAAGCACCACAATATGAAAGTAATGTAATCTGATTACTTTTGCATTTCTTCAAGGTCACATATGTAAATAAAGTCAAGTAAAAGCAATATCATCAAAAATACTTATTTTTATTATGGATATGATGCAAATTATATCTATCAGATGCACAATATATAAAATTTTATAAAATGTCATGTAGTTGTAACTATGCTGAAACTAAATGCTCTGCTAATATGAAACCAAAAACACAACAGAAAAATACAGAAAACAAATTTGCATATTTCTGTATTTAAAATTACTTTAAGTATTCCAGTTAGTCTGTTGGCAGCATTTGGCATATCTAATGAAATACTAAATGTGCATTCAAACTGTTCATTCAATTAAAACTCAGGTTTGAGCAAAACTTTCTGTTGTAGTGAAAGAAGAGGACTTGCTCCATGTGGTCATTGGACAATCTGCTTCCACATGGAGTTAGTACATGTTCACTTCACTAAATGATTTCAGTTATTTCAAAGGTACTTACAGGAAAATAACCAAAACCCATAATGACAATGACCCAGCAAATAAATGTATTAAACAATAGGATAAAAATGACAAATTATTTCCATGTTTTTAAAAATTACGTTTTATGTATGGAAAACACATCTCTTTCTCCCACTCTCTCTCCCATACAGACGCACACACATACAGTACTACGGACACACACCCTTACAGAAACGATGGGTTACTTAACGTAAACCCTTTGACACAGGTCGACCTGTGACCAGGCTCCGCCCCACCTAAATCAGCCTGGTCAACCCCTGCCAAAGTCATTATAGAGAGATTTCTTCCCGTACCTATGCAAGGAGGGAAGTGCTTGTGAAACACCTCACTCTGTTATCAAAGAACTCAGGTTTACGTTAAGTAACCCATCGTTCTTTTTCTAACTGTTTCACTATGGGAGATATAGACCACTCCCATATTGCACCCATTTCACTGCTATCACCCATTACAATTATATGGGCACAGACCTACCGGCTCCCAGCACTGCATGTGCTAAGGATGGCTCAGACCCGTCCAGTCTATAGAACCGCACAAAAGTATGTGGCGTAACCCAACTAGCTGCTGAACAAATATCTTGACCATAATCTCACCTGAGTAAGGCCCACGATGTAGCCATACCCCATGTGGAGTTGGCTCTCAAGCCCTTAGGTGGTTGAAGGTCTTTGCAAATATAAGCTAAAATATAGCCTCTATGATCCAGTGAGACAGCTGTTAATGAGTAGCCCAAGACACAAACAGCCCGTCATGAGTCCTGAAACTGCTGTTCTTTTCACATGCATTTGAAGAGCCTGTACCGAACATAATAAATTCAACTTCTGCTCCCGCGGAGAAGAGAACGGAGGAGAGTGAAAAGCTGCCAGTTCAGTAGATGGGCACCTATACGCTGAGTCAACTACCTTAGGCACAAAAGCAGGGTTAGGGCAAAAGGAAACCTTAGTGAGCCCTGGAGTGAACTGCAAATAAGACGGGCTAACAGACAAAGCATGTAAATCACTCACACGCTTGGTTGTTACTAAAGCTATGAGCAGCACCATCTTAAAGGGGTCATCTGCAACAGTGTTGTAATTACAAGTTAACCACTGATTTCTAGTCGTGTCCTCTTTTGGAAGGCCAAACAAAGTAGTTTCGCTTTCACAACGGAAAAAGCGTCACACACCGTGGCCTTGAGTGAGCGGAGGCCTAGAGTGAGCCGCGGCCTAGAGTATGCGGAGGCCGGCTTGAGTGAGCAAAGGCGGGCGGGCTTGAGAACGGCGCAGCCGGTGGATTCGACGAAGGAGCGTCCAGCGGGCTTGCGGCAACCGCATGTGACAACCCCTGGTGAAAGCCGATCCGGCGATCGACAGTGCGAAGTTGGTGTATTTCCTCAGCGACCAGCACGGATCAGCTCCAGGCATGATGAAGCGGATATCGTCCTCTTTTGAAAGGCCAACCAAAGTAGTTTCGCTTTCACAACGAAACACAGCGTCTTCACGACATGGCGATGGCGGCAACAACAATACTACAGCGAGAATAAAAGTTACGCCTTCTTTCTTTGCGTGAACATTTGGGTGGCGTTATGCAAATCTTCCCACATCATGAAGTAGACGTGGGGGCGTGTTAGAACGAGCCGTTTTAGGTAAGCGTGGTTGACTCGTAACTTTTATAAAGAATATCTCTTTGGATTTGAGACTTTAGTCTTTGCAACTTTACAGATCTTCTTTATGCACCAAGAGCTTGTAAAACTCCAAACAGAAAGGAAAAATTGAAATCGCATCATATGACCCCTTTAAGCGAGAGATACTTAAGCCCAATTGCTTCTAATGACTCAAAAGGGTGCTGAGAGAGGGCTATTGGGATGATGGATAAATCCCAAAAAGGAACCATCTGTCTGGACACCGGCTGTTTATGGCATGCACCTTTCATAAAACAACTTATTAGATGATGCTAGCCTGCTGATTTTTCGCCAAAATCTACATGACAAGCTGAAATAACTGCTAAATACACCTTTATGGTGGAGAAAGCCTTCCCCTTATCTAGAAGATTTTGGAGAAAGCATAAAATGTCCCTCACTGAGCACTGAAAAGGGGCAATATGACTCTGCTCACTAGGGCTGTCAAAATGACTGAACAACTAAATTCGAATTTTGCACTTAAATATGATCAAAATTCGAATTATGTTAGAATTTAAAAGGCATAATTTCAGTTAGGGGGAAAAAAGCTTTTGGCTTCTCTCCTGAGGCCACAAGAGGGTGCATCGAACAAAATATTATGCACGTTTCTTCAAAGCGTAATAAAATAACACGACTATCTTTGAAAAAAAGTGCATAATGTTTAAAATAATATTTATAAACCATATATAATTAATAAAGTTGCTTAAACAATTTGAAAAAAAACAGCACCGTGCATGTATGTATAGTTTAATACAAAGGCCCCGAAAACCAATCACAAAGAATAGGCTACTCTCTTAATTTAAAAACATGAGATACAGTGGGATGGGGGAAAACCGCCATAAAGTCTTGAGACATGTTTTTTAAAACTTGAACTTACATTAATTTTACATGGCTTTCTAAACCTACCGCTCTCTTGTGCGAGACGCGAGTGCAACGCTGATAGATGCCCCGCTAGAAAATGTGATAAATATGCGTTGTGTGTGAACGGCTTGGTTTCAGTTTCGCCATAAACAACATCTTCGCCACACTGATGCTCTCGTTTTCCGCAATATATTGAATGAACAACGTAGCAGCGCTGCATCTACTGGGTTCAACTGGATAGGCTAACAAAAGCATTAAAATGCAATGACACTTACATTCTCGTCGCATTTCATGCGCCACTGATAAGGCTGCCTGATGGCTGACGCAGACCTAAAATTCGAATGCAACGATTTTTTATTCGAATGTGGTTTTTTTTTTATTCGACGAATATTCAAAATTTAAAAAAAAATTGGACAGCCCTACTGCTCACACCATTCTTCAAAGACTCGCCATTTATTGCTATAAAGTGAGCGAGTAGAGAAGGCTTTTGCACTCTGTATAGTATGTATGACTGGTGGAGGCAGACCTGCTGCATTCAAATTCCACCTCTCACGGGCCAAGCCCAGAGAGCTATCCTTGGACAGGAGATGGATGGGAGGGGCCATGGCTGGCCTGACAGCGGTTCCGCAATATATTGAATGAACAACGTAGCAGCGCTGCATCTACTGGGTTCAACTGGATAGGCTAACAAAAGCATTAAAATGCAATGACACTTACATTCTCGTCGCATTTCATGCGCCACTGATAAGGCTGCCTGATGGCTGACGCAGACCTAAAATTCGAATGCAACGATTTTTTATTCGAATGTGGGGGTTTTTTTATTCGACGAATATTCAAAATTTAAAAAAAAAATTGACAGCCCTACTGCTCACACCATTCTTCAAAGACTCGCCATTTATTGCTATAAAGTGAGCGAGTAGAGAAGGCTTTTGCACTCTGTATAGTATGTATGACTGGTGGAGGCAGACCTGCTGCATTCAAATTCCACCTCTCACGGGCCAAGCCCAGAGAGCTATCCTTGGACAGGAGATGGATGGGAGGGGCCATGGCTGGCCTGACAGCGGTTAAACCATCTTGGCCACCCAATGTTTGGATGGCTAGTGTGGAACTATCAGTATTTATGGCAGACCCTGTTCCCTCACTCTGGCTAGAGTGGGGGAAATTAAACTGGCTGGTGAGACATTGTGTGAAAGACGCAATTATCCCTTCTGTTAGTATGACTTGATAAGAGAGGGAGTCTACGCTGAACCCCAGATATTGTTTGTTGAGAGGGCTCCAAACGGCTCTTTATCAAGTCAAGTCAAGTCTGCTTTATTGTCAATTCTTCCACATGTACAGCACATACACACAGAGAATTTAAATTGCGTTACTCTCAGACCCTTTGGTGCATACAGATAACATAAATACAGATTAAATACAAAATACAACTATACAAATATACAAATAAGGTAAAATGTAAAAATATATATATAAAGCACAAGGCATATGGAGCATAGAGTGCAAACCAGTAAAGTAAACAACAGTGCAGATATAGTGATGTAGTGCAAAAAAATTATTTGTAGTGCAAAAGAGCTTATTTCAGACTGATTAAAGTGACAGTGTGTGTGTGTATTTGGGAGGGGGGAGTGGGAGAGTCCATCAGAGGGTCAGAGTTCAGTGGTGTGTGGGGCAAAAGAGGGGAGGGGGGGCAAGGTCGGGAGGGAGTTCAGCTTTCTGACAGCCTGATGGATGAAGCTGTCCTTCAGTCTGCTGGTCCTGGCCTGGAGACTCCGCAGTCTCCTCCCTGATGGCAGCAGACTGAAGAAGCTGTGTGTCGGGTGGGTGGGATCACCTGCAATGCAGAGGACTTATCATGTTGATCCTGAACCCCAAGTTGCTGAGATGATTTTATACGTCTGTGTCTTTCACTGCTTGCTCTCTTGGTGACAAGCATATCAGATAATCGTCTATGTAAGACAATATTCTTATTCCCTTGTTCTTCAATGGGAACAGGCCTGCTTCCACACATTTTGTAAAAACCCTTGGGGCTAAAGATAGCCTGAACGAAATAGTTTGAAACTCATAAGCTGTGCCTTGGTATGCAAATCTGAGGAATTTTCTGTGAGAGGGGTAAATGTCTATGTGGAAAATATGCATCTGACAGATTGATTTTCACAAACCAATCATTCAGACGAATCAATCGACAAAGTACTTTGTGTGTCAACATTCTGATTGAATACTTTCGTAGGTGCTTGTTCAACACATGAAGGTCCAAAATTGGATGAAGGGCTGTGTCCGGTTTCTTTGGAATTACAAAATTACGGGAATAAAATCCCTGACGGCTCAGGCACCACTCTGATTGCCCATTTGTTTAAAAGTGTTTCGATTTCAGCCGTCAAGACACAAGCTGATTGTCCCTCGACCACTGACACATTCACCCCGTTGAATTGGGGAAAAAGAAATCCTCTGCACACTTCCGACATCAGACATTGCCACAACACGTTAGCCTGTTGGGCTAAGGTAATTAAACCTTCCAAAGGCTCGCCTTGATTCATAAAGCCTAAAGTTGACTTGACGTCACCTACCACTATAATTTAATATGCAATAGGCCTATTAGAATAGTCCCTGACATGGACCCTATTCTAATTTTTAAGGATGTCACAATGACGGTCCAACTTTCGAACAGATTAGCGAAATCAGCAAAGTCCAGATGTGCTGAGAGAGCTTGCTGCAGTCTCCCACAGGAAGAAAGCGCGAATCACTTATAACAGCACTATTATTTAAGCAGATTTCACTATTAGTAGAGACGCATCACCACCCATCATCAGTAATTCTTTACTTTAATGAAACCATTGTAATCCTGATAGTATTCCCATTTTTTACAAAATGTAACTGTAATCTGATTACTTTGTTTTATGACGTAACTGTAACGAATTACAGTTTTTGTATCCTGATTACATAACACTGTTACATGTATTACATTACTCCCCAACACAGAGTGTATATCAACAACATCTCGTGAACCTCAGCAGCTAAAGAAGCAAATCTGTCTACTCAAACATTTTACACATTTATTTATAGTATCCATTATAGTATCCAAGAGTAAAATCAAATAAAATGTTAAAATATTGGATTTCTGGAATCTCAAAGGAAGGTTTAAAGGGTTAGTTCACCCAAAAATTAAAATTAGCCTGTGTTTTACTCACTCTCTAAGCATCCTAGGTGTGTATGACTTTCTTCTTTCAGACAAATCCAATCTGAGTTATATTAAAAATGGTCCTGGCACTTCTAAGCTCCATCATTGTAGTGGGCGGATGTTTCTCTTTAACAGCCCAAAACACGTTAAATAAAGCGCAAGCAACCGTAATAAAACGTGCCTCACACGGCTCCGGGGGGTGAATGAAGGCCTCCTGTAGCGAATCCAGCATTTTTGTCAGAAAAATATACATATTTCAAACGTAATAAACACTTTTCTCTCACTTCTGCTGACTGCCGTATGCAGAAGCATTGCGGCTGATGACGTAGGACGTATGCATCGTGCGTGTGCGCCTCTGAGATTGGCTAGTCTCACGAGTTTACGGTAGCAAAGTTTCCTTACTTTAGCAAAGGAAAACCAGTCTCCTCTTGGCTTATATTGAAATCCTCAGACATTTTTCTTTACAGATCCTCGTTTTGTGCTTCTAATTCATGACCGGCATTTTGTTTTGTTCTCTCTCTGCGTTCGTCACTAATCAAGCAACACCTACGTCATCTGCTGGAATGCTTCCGCATATGACAGATAGCGGAAGTGATAGAAAAGTGTTTATTGCGGTTGAAATATGGGTATTTTTCTGATAAAAACGCATATATTCACTACAGGAGGCCTGCATTCACCCCCCGGAGCCGTGTGAGGCACGTTTTATTACGGAAGCGCGCGCTTTATTTAACGTGTTTTGGACTGTTATAGAGTATTTTGAAAGATGAAGCTTGCGATTATGGTAAGGGGCGTTACAGTGTTACAGGGCATTGCTTGCAGTGTTCGGCCAATCACAATGCACTGGGTCAGCTGGCCAATCAGAGCAGACTGCGCTTGTCGGAAGGAGGGACTTTGTAGAAAACGAAGCGTTTGAGAGAGGAGGGGCATAGAGGACCGACAATAATGTACAGTATTTGAAAAAGAATGTGTTTTTTGAACATTAAAGCATGTCAACATATTCTGATACACCAAATACACAAAATAATTATCTTTAAAAAAGCATCATATGACCCCTTTAAAAGAGAAACACCCGTCCACTAGTTCCAGGACCATTTTTAATACAACTCCGATTGGATTCGTCTGAAAGAAGAAAGTCATATACACCTAGGATGGCTTGAGGGTGAGTAAAACACAGGCTAATTTAAATTTTTGGGTGAACTAACCCTTTAAATGCTCTGATTCCTATCTATTTTCACAAATGTAAATAGACTACATTTGTGAATATAATTTTTTTAACTAAATTAAAAAATGGGTAGGCCAACAGCTGGCTAACTGTATGGACAACTCACATGTGATTGTGTGGCAGATGGCTTTGCATTATGCATATTGTCTAAACCAGGGGTTTTCAAACCTGTCCTAGAGGACTCCCAGCCCTGTACATTTGTATGTCTCCCTCATGTAACACACCTGATTTAACTCATTAGCTCATTAGTAGAAACTGCAAGACCTGAATTGGGTGTGTCTGATAAAGGAGACATACAAAATGTGCCGTGCTGGGGATGCTCCAGGACAAGTTTAAAAACCACTGGTCTAAATCATTGTTACTGCCCTCTAATGGTTCATATGTATTAGCAATCTAAAGAAAATCTCTTGAACCATTGATGTCTTCAGTGTCTTGGTAATATTGTTGATTGTGCCCACAGCACCCTCAGATCCAGAAGAAGTCACAGTATATCAAATACTTGTGCTGTGATGATGTCAGAACTCTACACCAATGGGTCAATGGCATTCGTATTGCTAAGGTAATCCCATAGCTTGTCTGTTATGTTTTCTGTTCAATTAATGAAACCTGTGGCCTCAAAACATGTTCCTCTGAAACTATCTAATATGCCACATTTATATAACTGTAACTCTTCTGTATTTGAAAAGGAATTTATAACCAGAGTTCATGTTGGAAATTGTTTAATATTCAACCATATATGTGTATATGTTGAGTTTATATAACTTCATCATTGAATGTGTTTTATGTACAGTATGGGAAGCAATTGTATGTGAACTATCAGGAAGCCATGAAGCGCACAGAGGCTGCCTATGACTGGTCTTCTCTCTCCAGCACCAGCATCAAGTCGGGAACAAGCTCAGTCAGTATACCTGGTGAGTAACTTGAACCTGATCACTGACCTTTGTAAACTCTTTTATGAAATATATATTTTTTTTTTTTCAAATATCATTGTAACTTATGGAGCATTTTCCTTTAATGGCATAATAGTGATTTTACTGACTTATTACTGTAAATGCTACTTGTTACTGTAGGTTGCTATCTGATGTTTGTGCATATTTGTTTGTGTTTAAAGAGTCACAGTCAAACCACTCTAGCCAGGCAGACAGTGGTATGTCAGATGGTACTTCATCCTCCCATGCCCGCGTATATGTTGAGTTTATATAACTTCATCATTGAATGTGTTTTATGTACAGTATGGGAAGCAATTGTATGTGAACTATCAGGAAGCCATGAAGCGCACAGAGGCTGCCTATGACTGGTCTTCTCTCTCCAGCACCAGCATCAAGTCGGGAACAAGCTCAGTCAGTATACCTGGTGAGTAACTTGAACCTGATCACTGACCTTTGTAAACTCTTTTATGAAATCTTTTTTTTTTTTTTTTTAAATATCATTGTAACTTATGGAGCATTTTCCTTTAATGGCATAATAGTGATTTTACTGACTTATTACTGTAAATGCTACTTGTTACTGTAGGTTGCTATCTGATGTTTGTGCATATTTGTTTGTGCTTAAAGAGTCACAGTCAAACCACTCTAGCCAGGCAGACAGTGGTATGTCAGATGGTACTTCATCCTCCCATGCCCGCTCCCAGAGTGTAGTCAGTTCAATCTTCTCTGAGGCCTGGAAGAGAGGGACACAAATAGAGGAGAGCACAAGGGTGAGCTGTCCTCTTTCTCTGGAGAGATACATCTCTTTACTTGAGCACTTTCTTCAGTTAATCTCTTGATAAAACACCACAGAGTAAGATGAACCACACTAAAAGCGGAAAGGATATTAAATTAAGAAATAACGTATTATTATTTTTTCTTGTTTTTATATTGGTTCAGGCAAGGCCAGAATCAATCCGTTCTACCCATTCAAGCCATAGCAGCCATTCTTCTCATCATGTGCCTCAACAGCAGCATTCACAACCACAGCAACAGCCACATCCATATTCAATTCCACAGTCACATGGAAGTGTCACCCAGGCACTGACACAGGCACCGATTCAGGCACAAGTACCACCCCATGCAACTCCAGTCCCACCACCACCTCCTCCACCCCTTCCTCCTCCTATTTCCAATATCCCCCACCATGCCACACCTACAATGTTCGCCAAATACAGCACTATCACTCGGCTGCAGAATGCCACTCAGGCCACAATTCACCACAAGCCTCAGCCTCAAGTCCAGCAGCAAGTGCCACCTGTCCCACTGGCCTCCAAACCACAATCAAACAATATTCCACCAGGGGCTAACATCCCACCCCCTCCTCCTCCACCTCCACCTGCCCCAATGCCTCCACCTGGATCAGCCATGGCTGTTTTGAAACTTGGTCCTCCAGCCCCAGCAACAGTTCTTCAGTCCTCCCCTCCTCCTTCCCCCTCACCTCCACCACCTCCACCTCCCATAATGCCCATGCAGTCACAGCCTCTACCACCTCCACCTCCCATAATGCCCATGCAGTCACAGCCTCTACCACCTCCACCTCCCATAATGCTAATGCAGTCAAAGCCTTTACCACCTCCTCCTCCCATAATGCCCTTGCAGTCACAGCCTTTACCACCTCCTCCTTCCATAATGCCTGTGCAGTCACAGCCTTTACCACCTCCTCCTCCCATAATGCCCATGCAGTCACAGCATTTACCACCTCCTCCACCCATAGTGCCAATCCAGTCACAACCCCTGCCACCTCCTCCACCCATAGTGCCAATCCAATCACAACCTTTCCCACCTCCTCCACCCCCTCTTCAGGCTAATGGCCTTACCCCTCCTGCACCAACCTTTACAGTGCAGGCACGTTTCATATCCAATGGACACAAGCAGGTCCTTGCCCACAAATTTCGCAATGTACCCCAGGATGTAATACCACCAGCCAATCAGATCCATTCACCTCCCCCTCCTCCCCCTCCACCACCACTACCATCAGCACCTACACTCCCTCCTCAACAGCATACAGCTCCAAATCCACCACCACCTCCATCAGCTCCCATGCAGCTGCCAATTCATCCTGCAGTTTTGCCCAAAACTTTCACTGGTGGATTTCCACCCCAGACAGCACCAAAACCTTTGTATGGCATTCTTCCAGTATCCCCAGTAGCTTCATCACCTCAAACTCCAGCACCACCACCACCACCTCCCCCACCCCCACCTCCTCCTCCTCCACTTCCAGCACCATTGAAGAACCAACCCCCACCTACACTACCCAAGCAACACAGCATCTCCAAGACACTACCCTTCTCCAGCCAAACCTCATCAGTGCCATCTCTGGTTAAGCAGCTTGCTAGCCAGTTTCCTGTTGCATCTCCTGCAATGACCAATCAAACTGAGTCACAAAGTCACAAAACTCCTCAGTCCCCACCTGCTGAACTTTGGGGTTGAGTGGGATTTTTAATTTTGATTTTATATTGTTTATATATTATCGATTATTTAATAATCTGAAGAGATTTTGTTATTTCAGACTTTTTTAAATGGTTGGATGGTTATTATTGTTTGAGGAGTTTTAGATGGGTAAATTGATTTAGACAGTGTGTTTGGCTGGTATATTAGTTTGGCACAACTTTAACCATTTATGTGGCAGATCCAGTGCTGAATGGAGGCATCTAGAATGTATCTTGATCACTATTGTTCTTTGAGCCACTTTAAATGCGTTTTAGTTGTAACTGTCAAAACTGTAACATGAAGGACTTGTTCAGGGAGTTGACTCAATGTCTAGTTCTGTGAGACTGTGGAAGTTTTTTTTTATTTTATTAGACCTGTTTAAATTGTAGATATTCTCATTTGCTGCAGTATCTTTGTTTAGGTAAAACAAATGACTGCCTTGCTGTTCCTTGTTGGTCCTTACTTCCTCTGGTGAACATTCATGCTTACTTTTACAAATTGTTCACCTATGGAGAGATAGGCTTTTAAGTCATGTGACTGAATGACACAATCATTATTCACATAGATTTATCGTATATCCTGTATTACAACTTGTATCATTGGCTCGTGAATACAGCCACGCCTTAAGATTCTAGACCATGCGTATCAAATAACAGATAAAAATATTATCATCTTACAAAAAGAGGCCATTAGGAAGTTACATTTCCCTGTAGGTTTTACTTGTTAAAGGATTCTGGCATATTTTTCCCATTTAGACATGACATACAACTTTAGAATCTTACAGTGAGCACCTATAATGGCTCTATAAGAGCTACTTTCCATTAGTACAAAGTATGCATATTATCTCATGTCCACATTTGATTTTGAAGAATTTGTTTATTGAATGTATTTACAATATCATGAAACTTTTCAGGCTGTTGAGAAGTGACTAACTGAAGTTGATATTAAATTATTAAAGTATCAGGTCATGATCCATCGAAGGTCTATGAACATCATGCTCTGCATATCTCTCTGCAAAATGTGTAATTTAAAATGTAATTATACATGTTTCTGTTTTTATTGGGTTTCTCGTGGAGGTTAATGCCAGCAGGTTTTTATTTGTAGAAAGATTGTTAATAATCCTGTTTCATGTTTCAGTGGAGGATGTAGTTATTGGTAGCCATTGGCAAAATCCTTAGTACAGTAGTCTTTTCATTTAGCTTTATGTTTGTAGCACCTTAATGTTTGTATGAAGAATCTTCATGTGATTTAATCCAGCAGGTCAGTGATATGGCAGGTGATTGTTGAAGTGGTCTCCACGAACATGGTTGGTTTCAGTGTTGTCATGATGACCTGCATGTATTGGTGGAACCACATTAATGCTTGGTGCTGAAGTTGAATGTGTGCGGTCTACAAAGCATTATTAACATTGTGATTGCAATATTTATACACCAAATATGAAAGTATGAAATATGACAAATGTATTTACCTCCAGTCCCAAAATGATTTAAATCATAGTATAATCCTAACCCCCCCTGTTGGCAGAAAGAAGTTGTCAGCAATTAATTCATTGTTTAGTCATGCATTTATAAATTAAAATTAATTTACTTAAAATTAAAATAATATTTTCAGTTTAACTATCCTTGACACCGTTCTCATACTTCTGCACAATAGTCAATGAATAGTTTTTAATCAAATTACATTTACTGATGCAAACTTGCACTTCATTCTAGCCCTTCTTGCTTGTTTACTAGACGCTTACATTTTGGCCTGTATCTATCTATTCATGCAAATGTTTGTATGCCCATGGTAAAATACAGTCTCTTAGCTTTATGTTGACACTCACCTCCTCATTGGACTCAGAGCTCGAGCTGTCGGCCTTTGTGCATCTGAGAGAGAGATGATGCGAGTGATATCCTGGTTCACTATGGCTCTGATATAGCAACCTGCCTCCGACTAAATTCCCAATGGTATGGACAAGAATCAAATAAATTCACTAAAAAATAACTTAATACTCTTAATATTACTAATCAATGTTACTTATTATTATTTTTCATTATGCAAGTTTCTACAAAGCATTGTTAATATACACATTTAAAAAATGTTGCAGCAAATTCAACAGTCACATAACATTAAAGGGGTCCTATTATGCTTTTTGCACTTTTTCAACTTTAGTTAGTCTGTAATGTTGCTGTTTGAGCATAAAAAAGATCTGCAAAGTTACAAAGCTCAAAGTCCACTTCAAAAGGAGATATTTTATTTAACAGAAATCACTTTTCAAAAACTACAATGTTTGGACTACAACTCGTTTGGACTACAACGCATATTTTCTGGGATTTGTAATATCACAAATACCGACGAATGGGACGAGACCTGGTTGAGCTGCACTAGAGAAGGCAACGAGTGTTCCCTCTCATAGGCTCACTTCCATGCTGCGATGACGTCATCGCTTTGGGAACACCTTCGGTGTGACGAATGTCTGAAGCCCTTATACCATCACGCCAATTTATTGGCCAAATAGCGCTTAGCACCGCCCCCAATGCGCATGTAGGTGAGCTATATAGCGTGCTGCGAACTATTTCCATCAGATTTCATTTCCTTCAGGAAGCGAATCATCTGTCGCCTGTAGGAAAGCGTTCTTTTATCGTGTTCTTAGCTAATTCCTTCTAAAGAGCAGTTTACTCCTCTTCAGCGGACACGATGAGCTACAGGAGATGCATCGAGCCGTGTGAAAGGTTCATCGCAGGAGGAGACACTCATGACAGGTGCGTGCAATGTTTGGGCCTACAACACGCCCAAGCGGCGCTTAGCGGCCTTTCTGATTGTCAACACTGTGATAGCCTATGGCTAAAAGCACTGCGCTCGAGGTTCGCGGCCTTCTCGAATAAAGTAGGCCTCGCGTCTAACCCCCGCTATCCCGTTTCTGCGGGTGCCGAGGCGCCGCATGAGACGGTCGCTTGGGGTGACGCATGCGAGCCGAGGCGCTTAGAGGGTGAGACAACGGAGTTCTCTCCTTTTCTCTCGCTCTCTCCAGGCCATGTGCAAGTGCTCGAAGAGCGCTATGGGGATCCGGTGGTCTTCGTCAATGACAATTTGCGGCCTACCCCGGAAGCTCGCGATGCGATGTCTTTCGGTTGTATGCAGTATGACAGAGACGTGCTGTCCACAGCGGCCTCTGATTCTGAGGATTTATTGGGTGAAGTGTGCAGTTCTCTCCCTCTGAGTGGACAGGAGAAATGCACCTCCCCGTCTTACAGCAAACTATTAGACGTTGTAACGCGCGCTGTGGATAAGTTGGGGTTAGAGTGGGATAGCGAGCTGATGCAAAATCAGACCCAGTCAAAACTGGACGATCGATTTTTGTCCAGCCGCACTCCGTCTCAACCCCGTAGACCTCTCCCCTTTTTCCAAGACCTCCACCACAAGGTTTCGAGGTCTTGGAAACAACCTTTTTCGGTGCGCATCACTAATCCCGCTGCCGCTGATTTTGCCACGGTTTCTAAAATGGCGGATCACGGCTATGCCGGACGTAGAAGAGACTCTCGCGGCACATCTCACTCCAAATTCCGCTCCGTCTTGAAAGTCACGCCCTCTGCTGCCGTCCAAGCCGTGTAGGGTTACTTCCGCTTTGATCGGAAAATCTTACATGGCCGCTGGGCAGGCCGCGGCCACACTACATTCTATGGGTGTACTCCAGGCTTATCAGGCAGATGTGCTCAAGGAGCTGGACGAGGGAGAAGGCCTGACCCCGGAGGCCGTTAAAGAGCTCAGACGAGCTACTGACTTGGCGCTTAGGGCTACCAAGCACACGGCTCGGGCAGTGGGCAGGTCCATGGCAGGTTTAGTGTCAGCTGAGCGCCAACTTTGGCTCACTCTCACTGACATTAAGGAGAAGGACAGGACCTTTCTCTTGAACGCCCCCATTTCGAGTGACGGCCTGTTCGGAGATTCGGTCACTACAGTCGTGGAGAAGTTTCGAGCAGCGAAACAGCAGTCCGCCGCGTTTCGACAGCTCATCCTGCGCAGGGCTAGGGAAGTAGAGCGTCAGCCACCTGCGGCTCGTTCACGCTCGTCCTCTTTACAGCGTCGCAAGGCCCAGCGGCATGAGCCATCACCTAAGGTACCCCCTCGTAAGGATTGGGGTCCTAGGTCTCGCTCACCTGCTCACACACGACAACGAAAGCGGTTAGACCTGAGTTCGACGGCCAAGACCTCTCGTTCTCAGGCTCCTAATAGCAGTTCCTGATTCCTCTGCTCGTCTTCGGAGGCCAGGCCCTCCTTTAGAGAGTGTGGACGAACTGCACAAGCGTATTCGCCTCTCTCGCTGTGGCCTCCTGACTCTGATCTTGACGGTCCTGCCGCATATTGCACCTCGGGCAGTTTTAGGTCGAGTCCTTACGACGAGCACCCCCTCGGATACTCTGCGCGTTCCAGCCTTCAGAGTTCGAAAGAAAGCCCAAGGGTCATGCGAGCATGGCCCGTTTATGACGGCCTCCAAAGCCCCCACTTTTGGGGTGGTGGGTAGGCCCGACAGGACAATCAGAAAACATCTTCCCATTATAGCTTTTTCCACCACTCAGGTGCTTTGGGATCCTATACGGGAGAATCAGGTGTACGTTCCAACCGTAGAACCGTAGAGTGGTGGCCCACTCAGTCGTGGTTCTCGGACCTGGTCAGTCTGCTAGCCGGCCCTCCATGGGAGGTTCCCCTCAGACACGATCTGTTGACGCAAGCCTGAGGCATGATCTGGCATCCTCGAGCAGTGGGCAGGTCCATGGCAGGTTTAGTGTCAGCTGAGCGCCAACTTTGGCTCACTCTCACTGACATTAAGGAGAAGGACAGGACCTTTCTCTTGAACGCCCCCATTTCGAGTGACGGCCTGTTCGGAGATTCGGTCACTACAGTCGTGGAGAAGTTTCGAGCAGCGAAACAGCAGTCCGCCGCGTTTCGACAGCTCATCCTGCGCAGGGCTAGGGAAGTAGAGCGTCAGCCACCTGCGGCTCGTTCACGCTCGTCCTCTTTACAGCGTCGCAAGGCCCAGCGGCATGAGCCATCACCTAAGGTACCCCCTCGTAAGGATTGGGGTCCTAGGTCTCGCTCACCTGCTCACACACGACAACGAAAGCGGTTAGACCTGAGTTCGACGGCCAAGACCTCTCGTTCTCAGGCTCCTAATAGCAGTTCCTGATTCCTCTGCTCGTCTTCGGAGGCCAGGCCCTCCTTTAGAGAGTGTGGACGAACTGCACAAGCGTATTCGCCTCTCTCGCTGTGGCCTCCTGACTCTGATCTTGACGGTCCTGCCGCATATTGCGCCTCAGGCAGTTTTAGGTCGAGTCCTTACGACGAGCACCCCCTCGGATACTCTGCGCGTTCCAGCCTTCAGAGTTCGAAAGAAAGCCCAAGGGTCATGCGAGCATGGCCCGTTTATGACGGCCTCCAAAGCCCCCACTTTTGGGGTGGTGGGTAGGCCCGACAGGACAATCAGAAAACATCTTCCCATTATAGCTTTTTCCACCACTCAGGTGCTTTGGGATCCTATACGGGAGAATCAGGTGTACGTTCCAACCGTAGAACCGTAGAGTGGTGGCCCACTCAGTCGTGGTTCTCGGACCTGGTCAGTCTGCTAGCCGGCCCTCCATGGGAGGTTCCCCTCAGACACGATCTGTTGACGCAAGCCTGAGGCATGATCTGGCATCCTCGACCGGTATTATGGAGGTTATGGGCGTGGCCACTGAGCGGAGTACGCTAATGTGTTCTGGTCTCTCGGCTGAGATTACCGACACTATTATGAATTCTAGGGCTCCCTCCACGAGACGCTTATATGCTTTCAAGTGGAGACGTTTTGCCTCTTGGTGTAGTCAGCGCATTTTGGATCCAGTCCACTGCCCTATCGGTTCAGTACTGGAGTTTCTTCAGAGTCGTTTCTCTGAAGGGGTTACTCCCGCCACTCTTAAAGTGTACGTGGCGGCCATATCGGTGGGACATGCACTCGTAGGAGGTGTTTCGGTTGGTCGTCACCCCCTGGTCTCAAGTTTTATGCAGGGTTCGAGACGGTTCGAGGTTCCGCCCAGCCCGAGTTCCTTCTTGGGACTTATCGATTGTGTTGGAGGGCCTGACAGGCCATCCCTTTGAACTGATGGAGTCTGTGTCAGAGAAGCTCTTGACCCTCAAGACGGTTCTTTTGATGGCTTTATCCTCCCTTAAGAGAGTAGGGGATCTGCAGGCTCTCTCCATCAGTCCTTCATGTATGGACTTTGCCCCAGGACTGGTTAAAGTCTTTTTGCGACCTAGGCCTGATTATGTTCCGAAGGTCGCTTTGAATCCATTTCGCTTTCAGCAAGTGGTCTTGGAGGCTTTTTCCCCAGCTGAGGAGGGGGTCAGTTAGCCTGAATCTCTGTCCAGTTAGGGCACTTAGGATCTATGTCGACCACACAGTTCAGTGGCGTGGATCTGACCAGTTGTTTGTGTGTTTTGGTAGTAAGAGCAGAGGTTCTGCTGTCACTAAACAGCGGATGTCACACTGGAAAGTGGAAGCTATTTCTTTGGCCTATGAGGCGCGTGGCTTGACCCCGCCTCTAGGGGTACGTGCTCATTCCACAAGAGCAGTGGCTTCTCCTCAGGCCTTCTTCAAGGGGTCCTCGACGGAAGATGTTTGTGCTGCGGCAGGATGGTCCTCTCCTAGCACCTTCATCAAGTTTTACAGTCTGGACGTGAGGATGGCTCCCGGGTCTTATCCGATTGAGCAGACGCTTTCCTTGGTCTACTAGCTATCTAAGGTACGACAGGCGTTATGGTATAGCGTTCCCAAAGCGATGACGTCATCGTAGCATCGAAGTGAGCCTATGAGAGGGAACATCTCAGTTACGTATGTAACCTTGGTTCCCTGAATAGGGGAACGAGATGCTGCGATGCTGGGCCGTTCCGTACCTTGATAGCACTTCCTTCGTAAATCAGTGAAATCTGATGGAAATAGCGCGCAGCACGCTATATAGCTCACCTACGTGCGCATTGGGGCCGGTGCTAAGCGCTATTTGGCTAATAAATTGGCGTGATGGTATAAGGGCTTCAGACATTCGTCACACCGAAGGTGTTCCCAAAGCGATGACGTCATCGCAGCATCTCGTTCCCCTATTCAGGGAACCAAGGTTACATAAGTAACCGAGATGTTATCACTATGTCGGAGACATGCTAGTTTCCCCAAGGCAGACAAACTTAGAGTGGTTACAATCATCTGGGTTTAAATCGTGCTCAAATTGATTTGATTTTGACACAATATTTACACTGAAGCTCGCAGGCGGCTATGGTAAGGGGCATGACATTTCCCGACCAGGCGCCGAGTGCTGCCAATCACAACACACACTGGCCCAGCTAACCAATCACAGCACATTTCGTATTTCAGAAGGCGGGCCTTCATTTGATACAGGAACTATTGGAGCCGTTCATGCCAGACTGGGTAGAGAGGTGTTGTAATAATGTAAAATATGTGAAAAATAATGTGTTTTTGAACAACCTAGTATGAGAGCCTGTTCTAGTACACCCCCAAAACAAAATCAAGACTTTGTAAAAGAGCATAATAGGACCCCTTTTATACTTTTTTTAAAAGTCCAACATGTTTTGTGGTATATACTATCATTCAAAAGTTTGAGGTCATTATAGTTTTTTTTTTAAAGTTTCTAGGGCCAATTTCTCAATACTTGGATCACTTTGTCAAAACTCTTCACACAGTGAGCACAACAGCATCTGTGGATAAACTGAAAAAAAGAATTGTTAGTTTATCTAAAGTCATTTGTGCTTATTAGTACGGTTGAACTGGATCATCAAAGGTCAGCAGCAAAGATATTGGTTAATAAAATGGGATTAGATACATTTGTGTTATTTAACATATTTAATTATTGCATATTCTGAGTTTTAATTCATTTTGATGAATACTAAATCTGTTTTTTTTTTGAGAGTGGGATGAATTAATGCACATTCACATTTAGTCTAGAACTACATCATGTTCACACAGCGCACACAACGCCTCTGTACTTCTGATTTCTCTCAACATGGGGACAGGAGACTTGTCTGGCAATAAATGGGAAAACAAAGTAACTGGCATTACTTTTTTGAAAAAGTAACTCAGATATTTTCTTGTAAATTAAAAAGTAATGCGTTACTTTACTAGTTACTTGAAAAAAGTAATCTGATTACATAACTCGCGTTACTTGTAATGCGTTACCCCCAACACTGGTCAAACAAACACCATTTGTTACAATCTATCAGCAAACCCGGATCTTAATCATGTCCTTCATATATGATATTAATGTGAATGAACATCTTGAGATAACCTACCACAAAAAAACCTTTGCGGTACATGCAGCCCTGAGGATCGACCCCAGAGCTCTTCTGACACTCCGTCTCCCTAATGCCAAACCTCAGATGCAGATCAAACGTGCCCATTCCCAGAGGAACAATTTTAAGGTAAATAAAAGCAAATGATCAGCAGTTATTACAGGAAAATCACTGACCACTGGAAAGCTGCTATCGATATTTTTGGTTTTATTGCCTTTTTTAAACGATTAATTTGTGTTATACTTTGTCTGCTTGATTCTCACTAGTCACCCTATACCAGTTTTGACAGATGCAGAAATGAAACCGTTGTAAGAGTGTACTGACCCTCTTTACAGACTCCTTGGACACTCTGTAGAGGTGATTGGTGGCAATGCGTGCATTGATCCGATTGAGTGCTATCTGCAGAGCATCATCAAACAGAGGAAAGCCTATGGTTGCATGTTGAAGGTCATGTTACTCATTTAAGGATTTACAAGATTAAAATCAAGAGTTTCTAATAATAAAAACAAATCCAAGTCATTTTAACCACTGACTTTTATTTTAGCAAAGTATGACAGCTGCATATATGTTTCCATTGTTAGCCTTACCAGAGTATTGTTACATATTTATTTCTTACACTCTTACACTCTGCTAATAATATATCAAGATCACACTCACCTAAAACTCCCAAAACCTGCAGGAGCAGAAACAGAAAAACACAGCACCTCATTTTCATGCCAGACTGGATGCTCTTACTACCACAGTCTCGTTTTTAACTGTTCTGGCTCTTATAATTCTCCAAGGCATTGTTTAATTTGGCATCTCTCTCCTGTTCGTACACATCTAGGTAAAGAGGAACTTTGTCATACAGACCCAATGCTTGTTTTTTTGTTGTTCTGATAATCTGATTTAAAAAATGACTGTGTAATGTGTGCGCGCGTACGTAAAAATTGTTTAATTTCTTTCTAAACTTTTTCTTTCTGATTTTCTCCTGCATCCGAAAATGTGAAATTATAAATGATTGCAAAGTAACTTGTGCACAAAATATGAAGTTGCCCTCCCACTTGTAGGTCAAAGGGGAGCTGAACAGAGGAATGTCTAGAGGACTATGTGGCAAGCAATTATAAACAAGAACATGATGGGGAGTGAGAAATTTAAGTTTTAATGAGATTAATAAAATCTGTGACTCTGATGAAAAAGCTCAGTGAACAGACATCTAATTTTGTCATAAGCCAAGATGAAATCTGCTTTCTTAACAATTAGTCATTTCTGAGAGCTCATATTACTAACAGATGCAGAGTGGTGTTCAGACTTGACAAGTTCCTGTTGTTGTAGATCAGTTTCATAAATCGTGAATTGTTACAGCTAATTTTCACTTCTTACTCCTGTGAGTATTTCTTAGAGTTGGTTAATTGTTGTATAGTCTGTTAAAACATATTTGAACTTTTACAGTTATTGTTCAGGAATAATGATACTTATGTTCAAAGTTCATTGAACATGTTGACAGTTGTGACACCATGTCCTAATAACGGAGGTGTTGCCACACTATGCTGGGTTGTTACAATGGAGTTTGATATTAAATGGCATATCATAGGCTATTCATCAAATATTTAACAGTACAAGAATTATGAAACAGCAAAATTTAACAAATGTTATGAAAAATGCCCTCGTTGAAGCATTCAATGAAAAAAAAATGTTGTAGAAACTACTTTAACTCATAATTTGCTAGTAAATTTCACTATTAATTACAAAGTAGCACATCGAAATAAATGTGAAAATTAAATGCGAAACAGACTGAAATAGTATTTTCTTGTAAAATGTACTCTAAAAGCACTTTCTGTTCGACATACAACTTGAAAAAATATTTTTTATTTTATTATTTTTATAGTGTTTTTACATTTTTAGTCACTGATGTGCAGGTGTTAGTAGAAGTTGTCCCAATTTTCTCACTGGTTTCTATTGTGCTAATCCAGTTGTCCATATTTATGTGCTCAAAAATACAGTAAAACAGTACTATTGTGAAATACTATAACAATTTAAAATGACTGTTTAATATATCTTAACATGTAATTTATTCCTGTGATGCAAAGCTGAATTTTCAATATAATATATCATAATGTTATGGTTTTTACTGCATTTTTGATCAAATAAATGCAGCCTTGGTGAGCAGAAGGGACTTCATTAAAAACATTTTAAAATCATAATGTTTGACAAGTACTGTATATACAGTATTGTTAATAATATATATTATTAAAAAGTATTTATTCGACATGCACACTGTAATCCCCGATGTAAGTTGTTTTCCTGATTGCCTTAAAGTTTAAAATCAATATATATTTTTTAGTACTGTGAGCTTGTTCAATTTGAGTCAATTTGAATATTTCTTTAAGGGGTCCTATTATGCTCTTTTACAAAGTCTTGATTTTGTTTTGGGGGTGTACTAGAACAGGCTCTCATACTAGGTTGTTCGAAAAACACATTATTTTTCACATATTTTAAATTATTACAACACCTCTCTCCCCAGTCTGGCATGAACGGCTCGAATAGTTCCTGTATCAAATGAAGCCCCGCCTTCTGAAATACGAAATGTGCTGTGATTGGTTAGCTGGGCCAGTGTGTGTTGTGATTGGCAGCACTCGGCGCCTGGTCGGGAAATGTCATGCCCCTTACCATAGCCGCCTGCGAGCTTCAGTGTAAATATTGTGTCAAAATCAAATCAATCTGAGCGTGATTTAAACCCGGATGATTGTAACCACTCTAAGTTCATCTGCCTTGGGAAAGCTAGCGTGTCTCCGACATAGTGATAACACTCGGTGCCTTCTCTAGTGCAGCTCAACCAGGTCTCGTCCCATTCGTCAGTATTTGTGATATCACAAATCCCAGAAAATATGCGTTGTAGTCCAAACGAGTCGTTCGTTGTAGTTTTTAAAAAGTGATTTCTGATTTAAATAAAATATCTCCTTTTGAAGTGGACTTTGAGCTTTGTAACTTTGCAGATCTTTTGAATGCACAAACAGCAACATTACAGACTAACTAAAGTTGAAAAAGTGAAAAAAGCATAATAGGACCCCTTTAATTATTATGAATCAGTTCAAATACTTTGTGCAGCTTGTGTAACTTGATAAAATTGCATAAAGTCTCAAACACTAAGAGATCTCCCCTGTTAATCTGTGTTATCTGTGTGCAAAAACACACAGACAACACAGTCTCAACATTTAATCTCCTTTAACAGTCTGAAGCAAAGCATGCTGAGAAAATAAAATCTTATTACGTTTGAGTTTTGCTAAATATAATCAGATATTGAGTTCACATAACTTTTAAGAGTTTGCTTTCTTTTAAGTACAATGAACTTTCAGTAGTATTTAAGAAAAATGGACTTGTTTCATTCAGTACATTTGTTAGGTTTTTACAAAAAGTAGAATTCTGTTACTAGCTCTTTAAATACTCTCAGCCCTCTCAGTTCCCTCCTCTTTTCCCAGATACTATGCACTGTTTAATTTGGCCTCTCTCTCTCTCTCTCGCACTATTCCTATCTACAAACACTGCTTCCCTTTCCCAGAATCTGTGCTCCTGGGACGGTTTTTCTGTATAGAGCAGTTATAAAGTAAAAAGAGTTCTTATCTGTTACCAGAGGTTGGTTAATGGTGTTAAAGGTTTGAACAGCTGTATGTGACAAAAATGAGAATTGTGCACAACTTTTCAATATAATAACAGTAAATGGTAATAATTGCATGGAAATATTGCTACTAAAAATGATGTGGTAATAGTGAAAACAAACTATTTTCCAACAAACAGGACAAACATCTTGTTTATATTTCCAGACCACCACTCATGTATTGCTTGGAAAAAAACTAAAACATAAAACACTGGTATAATGTTTGAATCTTCCAAGAGAAATATCACTTTTTTCATACATTTTAGTCTTGTTGTGTAACTCTCTGAAACCTGTTACAATAAAACAAAAAAAGCCTATTATACACTATCATATATAATGTACATATAATGGATATAAAGACAAAACTGCACTAGTGAAAACAAACTATTTTCCAACAAACAGGACAAACATCTTGTTTATATTTCCAGACCACCACTCATGTATTGCTTGGAAAAAAACAAAAACATAAAACACTGGTATAATGTTTGAATCTTCCAAGAGAAATATCACTTTTTTCATACATTTTAGTCTTGTTGTGTAACTCTCTGAAACCTGTTACAATAAAACAAAAAAAAGCCTATTATACACTATCATATATAATGTACATATAATGGATATAAAGACAAAACTGCATGTGTTTGCTTTTAAATTAAACAATATCTACTGCTTTGTTCATTTGCAGAAATCTGTCATTCAGTGCCATGCTTGTCATTAAATTAAAGCAAAAGGTGGCATCTCAACAGAACCATGATGCATCCCTTACCTTAGTGATGTTACTTAAAGAGCAAATCTTCACAAGACAGGTAGTGCTCACTTCTGCTCTAGACAAGGAATGATTTGGAGTCGGCATTACGGGGCCAGCACACGCTTGTGAACTAGACTGGACTATATCGGGCTGATTCACTATATTCAGTCACCATGTACCCCTCCTCTATCACTCACAGTCTTAGTGTTGACATTAGAGGCTCCACAGCTGCAAGAAATGAGCCTTCAAACTCCTGGTCTGAGAAGCGGGTGACAGACAGACGTGCCCGGCGTCGGATCTCTAACTGAGCTGCAGGAGTCATGGAAAGGATTCGTTCCATGGCGTCTGCATAACTGTCTTCATCGTCTGCCAGGAAGCCAGTTGGACCACCATCATAGGGAACTACAATGTCCAACTTCGGACCACCGGATTTGTGAGCCAGAATGATTGTTCCTGCAGCCATGCACTCCACTACACCTGTGGAGATGTGGGAGAAGATGAGCCTTCTCAGTGTAACGCTCATGCAAATATCAGGGTTATTAGTTAACAAAAACTGAAACGAAAACCCTAAACAAACATTTGTGTTACCTAAAATAAAAGAATAAATGAAAAACAAAATGAGAAAAAAGCTTCTTCATTTGAGCAAGTAAACTCAAACTAATAAACAAATTTATTAAAAAAATTATATAGACATTTAAAGAAATATATATAAAAATGACAAAAACACAACAAAATAAAAAACTAAAATGAAAGATGTTAACAGAAAATGTCAAATAAAATCTAATTCAAAATATTAACAAAAACTAACTGAAATGTATATCAATGATACTAAAATAACACTGGCAAATATGCACTACAGAGAAAAATAGTTTGCCAATTTCATTAGTATCTGACAAACAAACAAAAAATACATATTTTAATTTATATATATATATATACTGTATATATACAGTTCTTTTAATTTAAATATTTAACTCAATATTTTTATATAATACTGTTTTAATTACATTTGAAAAATAACTTAATTAGAAAATGATTTATTGTATAATATTTCAGCATTTATTTTATTACTGGTTCCATAAACCATCCGCCATCTTTTTGTTCATGATTTGTTTTTAAAGTACATCTGTACAGTGTTGTGAGATAGAACTTGCTGAGAGCGTGACATTTCTTACCAATACCGAAATGTTCATTCCACATTGTGTGCAACCCGATCGTGGCGTCTGTTAAATCTTTCTTCAGTTCCTCAAATGGGATATTGAGTTTAAACTCCACCCTATCAGCCACATCCAGATCCAGACACAATCCCCGCAGCATCTGTACCCTCTCTTCATCTTCCTGGTTACGACATCCACCAATCAACACCAGCTTCACGGTCTCTTGCCCAGCAGGCTCCACCCCCTTCCTGTCCAGAAGCTTTCTAAAAGCCTTGATCTGCAGCCGATGGTCTTTTTCAGGCCGGAACTGACCCACGGAGACCACAGAGTGACACTTCTTTCTCTCTTTCTCTTCATCCTCGTCCCTAATAGGGACATCCAGGAAGGCCTGAACGTCACATGGTGGATAGACCACACTGGTGCGGTTCGGAGCGCGCCACAGAGCCAGAATGTGACCTAACGTCCAGGTGGAATTTACCATGACTACGTCACTACAGGAGCCGGCCAGGCCGTACAGCAGCGCGAAGACACAGTAGTAAACCACTTTGATGGCACTCAGTACAGGGTTACTGGAGATGTAGTCTGCATTATTGAACCTAGGATAAAGATATAAGAAAGTATTTGTAATTATATATGTCAGATTTCTATATATACACCACTGTTCAAAAGCTTGGGATCAGTAAGAATGTTTTATGTTTTTGTAAGAAGACGTCAACAAGGCTGCATTTATTTGATCAATAATACAGTAAAACAGTAATATTATAAAGTATAATTGAAAAGTATTGTCTTCTATGTGAATATATTTTAAAATGTAATTTATTCCTGTGATGCCAAGCTGAATTTTCAGCATCATTACTCTGTGATCACGTGATCCTTCAGACATCATTCTTCTAATATGCTGAGTTGCTTCTCAAAAAAAAACATATTATCAATGTTGAAAATGTTCCACAATGTTTTTAGTGGAAACCGCAAAAACAATTTTTGTGGAAATCATTTTTTTCCCTGGAGTCTTTGATGAATATAAAGTTCAAAAGAACATTTATTTGAAATACAAATCTTTTGATAAACATTATACATGTCTTTACTATTGCTTTTT